GGGAACGGAGCAACATAGGGTGGGTGGGCAGGACAGGAGAGATGGGACGAGCACGGGAGGGACGGCGAGCCCAAACGTGAGACGGAGGTGTAGGGTCAGGGGACAGCGGAGGAGACACAGGAGGGGAACGAGGAGGAAGACGGGCCGGAGACGAGTCCGGCGGCGGGAACACAGGACCGTAGACAGGAAGGTCAGCAGGCAATGGGGGAGACACCGGCGCGCGGTCCGGGGAGGGAAGGCCGAGCAGGCGGAGAGCGGAGACCGGCGGCGACGGCTGCTGCGGCGGCGACGAAGGCTGGGCCGGAATTCTCGGACCAGCAGAGGCAGAACGACCGTCGGCAGAACACTCAACAGCAGCACCCCCAGAACCAACACCCCCAGAGCGAGAACCCCCTCCAACACCAGCGGCACCCCCAGAAGCCGCAGGACGAACACCCTCCTCCACACCAGCACCCCCAGGGGCTAAGAGCGGCGGCGGCAGTGGCGGCAACGGCTGCTGCGGCGGCGACAGCGGCGACGGCTGCGACAGCGATGGCGGCGGCAGCGGCGACGGCTGCGGCGGCTGCGGCAGCGACGGAGACGGCAGCGGGGTCGGCGACTGCGACAGTGGGGGCGGAGGCACCAGGGAAGGGGGGCGCGGCAAGGACGGACCGGGTGTACCACCAGAGTCAGCAGACTCCTCAACGGGGACAACCGACGGGAGGGGAGTGACGTGAGAGACACCAGACGAGGCAGGACGAGGCGGGAGAGGGGCAGGGGCTACCGGGGGAGAGGGAGCAAGGAACAGGGGGGGGGCAACTGGGAGACCTCAGTGAGGGAAGCGGCGGTAGAAGGAGACGGACTCGTCAAAGGTGACATCACGAGAGTGGAGGAAGCGGTGAGACGGCGGGTGGTAGAAAAGCCAGCCAGACGAGTCTAGGGGGAAACCGAGGAAGACACAGGGGACAGTGCGGGCAGTGAGCTTGTCCGTGCCAGAGGCACGAACGTGAGCAAGGCAGCCCTAGACGTGGAACGTAGACGCGTCACCGGGGGACCCGGTCCAAAGAAGGGTCGGCGAAACCTGCGGCCGCTGGGAGCGTCGCCACAGGTTAAGCTAGTGAGCAGCGTAGCGAACAGCGAACGGCCACAGAAAATGGGGGGCATCGGCATGGATCATGGAGGTACGGGCGACCTCCATGACCAAGCCGATGCGGCGCTCAGCAACCCCTTTCTGCTGTGGCGAGTCCGGCAACGTGTACGACTGGGTGATGCCCTCCGCACGACAGAACTGGCCAAGCCGACCAGAGGCGAACTCGCCGCCACGATCGGAGTGGAGACACAACACGGGGAGACCGCGGTGGAGACGCGCAGTCACAACCCACGGGAGAAGAACGTCGGGCACGTCGGCCTTCCGCTCCAGGAGAAACACCGTGGTGTAGTGCGTGTAATCGTCGACGAGCACAAGGAAGTAGCGCTCACCGCGCGGTCCGGGGACGGGGGCAGGGCCCCAAACGTCCAGGTGCACGGTCTGAAGGGGGGCAGTAGCAGGACGCAGCGAGGAGGAGTGAGGAGCACGGCGGAGCCGACCCTCGACGCAAGGCGTGCACGGTGGCGCAGTCGAGGGAGGAAGGGCAGGGAGCGACGCAGGGAGACCTAAGACAAGACCGTGCTGGGACATGTGACGCAGACGCGGGAGAGCAGGGTGACCTAAGCGGTGGTGCCAGAGAAGGGAGGAGTGAGTGAGGGACCGACACGAGCAAGCTGCAGCGACCTGGGAGGACGCACCAACCGGGGGGGAAGCGGTGTCTAGGGTAAACAGACCGGACACCGGGTCCCGGGGGAACGTCGCAAGGGGGGAACCTCAGACAGCCTCAGAACAGACAGCGAACCGCTCGTGCCCGGGGAACGTGGTGGTGACGCCGAGGTCCTGGAGACAGCCGACCCCAACCAGGTTCCTCGAGAACGAGGGAACGTGGAGGCTAGTAAGGGAGCCCGAGGGAACTGCCGGACAGGGAAGGGACGTAGAACTGCGCGCGACGACAGGACCCGCAGAGGGGTCAGCGAGGGAGACAACAGCAGGAGCAGCAAGCGGCGTGAGCGTGGAACGATCGCGGAAGAAGCAGGCAGAAGCACCGGAGTCGAGAGTGAAGGACAGCGACGCAGTGGCGGAGGCTGGGGACGGAGCCGGTGCAGCGACTAGACTAGGCAACCTAGGCAGTCCTACGCCTGACGCAGCAGGGGAGGCTAAGCTACACAGTGGTGCAACACCTAAACTAGAGTACACAGGGTAATAAGATCCAGCAAAACTAGAAGCATGCAAAGCATGCAAAGCAGCACCTAGCTGATCCATGTGTAACTCAAAGATCGGCACGCCCTGGCGGAGCAGGCTGTGCCAGTCGGGGAGGTCCGGGGCCGGGCCAAAGCGACGACGAAAGAGATCGTCGAGGCGGCGGAAACATCGGGCGGTCGGGTGCGGGCGGCGGCAGAGAGTGCCGCGAAGAGGCCCGGTCTGAAGCTGGTACTGGCAGGTGACAGCACCGGAGCCGCCGGTAGACCCCAAGCTGCGCGGGCCGCCACCACGACCACAACCTCCGGAGGTGCCGGGCCAACCAGGCGGGAGATGGGCCGACTGCTGCGGCGACTGCTGCTGGGACGGTGACTGCTGCTGGGGTGGCGGCTGCGGCTGGGGCTGCTCCTGCTGCGACTGGGACTGCTGCTCCTGCCCACCAGTGGTAGTCCCCGCAGGCGGACTACCGTCACCACCACTACTGCCACCACCACCCCTACCCCCCTGGCGACCACGGCCACCGCGGCGCGAGCGCTGCTGCGGGTGGACCGCACCAGCCGTCTCGGTGAGAGGGGCTGCCGAGGCGACCGCAGCCGAAACGTCAGTGAACGCACACTGGGAGGGGGCACAACCGTTAAAGATAGAAACTGCCGGCGCACCGCTCGACTGAGCGATAGTGCGCTGGCGAGTCTCGATCTCGGTAAGGGTGTCGACAAAAGCAGTGAGAGTGAGGTCACCCGGGTGCTGGCTAAGAAAGTGATCGCGAGCACTAGCAAGGCGGTCTGGCAAGCGCATGGCAATAAAATAGAGTGTCATGCAGAAAGGGGGGGGGAGCGCAGTGAGCTGGGCGGCAGTGCTGGCAGTGCGATAGCGGGTCTCTAGGGCACGCAGGTGAGTGGCAAAGTCTGCGACGGTAGGGAAAGCTGCAAGGTCTGGGAAAAGCATAGGGAAGAGCAGGCGACCAGCAGAAGCAGACGCGGGTGTGGAATAGCGGGCAATAACAGCGTCTAAGTAAGCTTTGGCCGTCTCAATAGTAGCAAAACGCGAGCGCTCAGAGACAGGGAGGGCGTGGCTAATGGCAACCTGAGCGACTGCATCGCGGGAGTCCCAGACCGCACGGGCAAGCGCAGCAGTAGAGAAGGTCTCACGGTCATCAGATGAGGGATCAGCAGGGAGGGGAGCAGGTGCGGGGGGGCGAGGGAGCAAGCCGTCGACATGGACAACCAAAGAGTGGCCATCCTGGCGCTGACCTGTAAGGTGGCGGCGGAGATCGGAGAGCCAGGCGGCGAAGTCAACCGCATGGCCCTCGGCGTCCAGTCGGAGCACGAAGTCCGCCATCGTGCAGGGTCAGCGGCACAGCTCCACAGGAACACAGCGACGCAGGAACACCGCGACAGCCCCCTCCAGCACGGCGGCTGCGAAGCGCCTCAGCACGGGCGAGCAGAGGAGACGGAGCCCGAGGCGGCACGGCAGGACGAGTCGGGGCGAAGGGGCGAGGCAGGTGCGGTGGGGCCAGGCAGGTGCTGGCGGGGCCAGGCAGGTGCGGCGGGGCCAGGCAGGCGCGGCGGGGCCAGGCAGGCGCGGCGAGGCCAGGCAGGCGCGGCGGGGCCAGGCAGGCTCGGCGGGGCCAGGCAGGTGCGGCGGGGCCAGGCAGGCGCGACGGGGCCAGGCAGGCGCGACGGGGCCAGGCAGGGCGTGACGGGGCCAGGCAGGCGCGTCAGGGCCAGGCAGGTGCAGCGGGGCCAGGCAGGCGCGGCGGGGCCAGGCAGCCGCGGCACGGCCAGGGAGGCGCGGCGGGGCCAGGCAGGCGCGACGGGGCCAGGCAGGGCGCGACGGGGCTAGGCAGGGCGCGACGGGGCCAGGCAGGTGCGACGGAGCCAGGCAGGGCGCGACGGGGCCGAGCGGGCGCGACGGGGCCAGGCAGGGCGCGACGGGGCCAGGCAGGGCGCGACGGGGCCAGGCAGGGCGCGACGGGGTCAGGCGGGCGCGACGGAGCCAGACAGGGCGCGACGAGGCCGAGCGGGCGCGACGAGGCCAGGTAGGGCGCGACGGGGCTAGGGCGGCGCGACGGGGCCCAGGAGGGGCGCGACGGGGCTAGGAGGCGCGACGGGGCCCAGGAGGGGCGCGACGGGGCTAGGGTGGCGCGACGGGGCTAGGGCGGCGCGACAGGGCCCAGGAGGGGCGCGACGGGGCTAGGGTGGCGCGACGGGGCTAGGGCGGCGCGACAGGGCCCAGGAGGGGCGCGACGGGGCTAGGAGGCGCGACGGGGCCCAGGAGGGGCGCGACAGGGCTAGGGTGGCGCGACGTGGCTAGGAGGCGCGACGGGGCTAGGAGGCGCGACGTGGCCTAGCTAGGGTATGGGCGGAAGCGGTAGGTGGGGGATGCTAACCTACGCGTGATACCATGTTAAAGTGAGAACGAATGATCACTAGAAGTGGAAACCTAGAACAAATACTAGTTGGTTGTACTCACTAGAAGCATACCTCAGTCTAGCCTATAACTTCTACATAGATAATATGTATAAGTTGACACTTCTTTGGGTGTGAGAATGGGGGAGTACTGCTGTGGGTGTGAGAATAGGAGTGCCACTGTGGGTGCGAGAGTGGGAGGGTGGGCGTGCGTGACAATGGGAGGAACCAGAGCCCCACCCACCCTTCTCTCCACCCATACCAACCCCTCACCACCACTCCACCCGCCAATCCAATGCATGTTGCAACATTGTAAGCTGTACGAGTAAATAAACACGTCCCGGATCTGGTACACTTGACATTCCAAACTCAAATGCAAATGCAACACCGCATAGATCATCACAGAGGGTGTACCCCTTATGGAACCCTCATGCTAACATAACTACGTCTTCCCACAGAGGGCCGCCTTGTTCTTAGGATGACACAATAATCGTTTGCTTCCGCGTGATCAAGGCATCACGAAATAGTTTAATGTAATTCCGAGCTTCTGCCTCCGTCTCCTGTGCACGGCCGAAGGACCTGAAGCTGTATCGATTGAACAGACCGTCCATCAGGCTAGTAGTGTTCTTCCAAACCAAAGGAACATTAAGTGTACCGTCGAAGCAGGACGATCCATAGTGCATGGCGGGCAGGCTTCCTCCGGATCGGATGTCGTCGACAAATAGTTTGAATATTGAGTAGAATTTACCTGCAGAGGACCTGCCAGAGGAATATAGAGAAAGAAGTAGCAGGAGAGAGGAGGGGAGGTGAGGTGAGGGAAGGGGGGGCGGGGGGGGTGGGTGGGGGGGCACATGCACCATCCGTTCGCATGGCTTAGAGCAAGAACACAAGTCGGGGTGTTATCAAAAGATGCATGATGCCCATGTATGTAAATCACCGATGGGGATGGGGATGGGGATGGGGATGAGTATGGGTTCAAGCTAGATCGGATAAGGAGCCAATCATCATGACTCACTATAACTTTTTCCAGCAGCATTAGTGATAGGTATCGTCAGGGAGTGAAAGTGGGCACAAGAATATCCACCGTGCTTTCAGGTGGTCGCAAGTGGGGCATCACCAGTGAAGAGTGTTGAGAGATTACTTCACACTCGATAGTGAGATAGATAACTTACTGCACAGCCCTTATAACGAGTCTCCCTTTTGCAAAGGAGTCGCCAACTAATCTCCCGTTGCGATAGGCAGGGTGTAACTTGAGGGACAACTTATCTGGTAATGGGAGCAAGAGGGGGAGGGAGACGGGGCGAGCACAACCTGAAACGTAGCTCCTATATGTTACATCTGTACAGGATAAAGTACGGTGAATCAATATATAATGTACAGTATACGATACGATACACTGGCAACCCTTGAGGGACAACTTATCTGAGAATGGGAGCAAGCGGGGGAGGGAGATGGAGCAAGCACAACTTAAAACGTAGCTCCTACAGGTTACATATGTACAGGATATAGCCGGGAATCAATACGTAATGTACAGTGTGCGATACGCTGTCCCTAGCGGGGGGAGACCACTATAAAGCATAACACCGGCACGATGAGGAAGTGCAATGCATTGCACAAGCGGCTGAACCCTAAAGTCTGGCGGTCAGAGGCACTTACCGAGCACCTTTCCCTTCTCCAGCGGCTCAGCCGCAGAAGCACTGCCTGGGAGGTAAGGCTGCGGAAACTTTGCTGCTGCCACTCCACCCGCTGTGATGAGCATCGCACCTGCAGGCATATAGAAGCACAAAAACCCGCACGACAGCAACACTAGAGATTTTGAGCGTTCTGAGACAACAGCAACTCTTGGAATTTTGAGCATTCTAAAAAGCCAACAGCCACAGCCAACAGCCGCCATCAGCAGCATGAAAGGGTGAGCTTTGAACAGAGCTCGCCACTGGCAGAAGTGCTGGCCGCAGATGCATCAAGCTGAGTTGGTGCTAACAGAGGAACACGCCGCAGACACAGAGCAGCATAAGAGGAGCATAAGAGGAGCACAAGAAGAGCTCGGCCGCAGAACAAGAGCAGCGCAAGAGCAGCACAGGAGCAGCACAGGAGCAGCACACGACCAGCACAAGAGCAGCACAAGAGCAGCACAAGAGCAGCACAAGAGCAGCACAAGAGCAGCACAAGAGCAGCGCAAGAGCAGCGCAAGAGCAGCACAAGAGCAGCACAAGAGCAGCACAAGAGCAGCGCAAGAGCAGCGCAAGAGCAGCGCAAGAGCAGCGCAAGAGCAGCGCAAGAGCAGCGCAAGAGCAGCGCAAGAGCAGCGCAAGAGCAGCACAAGAGCAGCACAAGAGCAGCACAAGAGCAGCACAAGAGGAGCACAAGAGGAGCACAAGAGGAGCACAAGAGCAGCACAAGAGCAGAGCAAGAGCAGAGCAAGAGCAGCACAAGAGCAGCACAAGAGCAGCACAAGAGCAGCGCAAGAGCAGTGCAAGAGCAGCACAAGAGCAGCAAAAGAGCAGCAAAAGAGCAGCACAAGAGCAGCACAAGAGCAGCACAAGAGCAGCACAAGAGCAGCGCAAGAGCAGCACAAGAGCAGCACAAGAGCAGCACAAGAGCAGCACAAGAGCAGCACAAGAGCAGCACAAGAGCAGCACAAGAGCAGCACAAGAGCAGCACAAGAGCAGCACAAGGGGAGCACAAGGGCAGCGCAAGAGCAGCAGCAGCGGCATGAAAGGTTGGGCATCGAACTGCCATAGGAGGGCTCCCTTGGGCTCCCGGGCTCCTTGTGCACAGGTGTTTGACTCAGAAGCATCATCAACCCGAGTGGGTGCTTACAGTGGAACACACAGCTATGGTGGGTGTCAGCTTGCACACGAGCAGCGCAGCTATGGTGGGTGTCAGCGTGCACACGAGCAGCGCAGCTATGGTGGGTGTCAGCGTGCACACGAGCAGCGCAGCTATGGTGGGTGTCAGCGTGCACACGAGCAGCGCAGCTATGGTGGGTGTCAGCGTGCACACGAGCAGCGCAGCTATGGTGGGTGTCAGCTTGCACACGAGCAGCACAGCTATGGTGGGTGTCAGCGTGCACACGAACAGCACAGCTGGAGCAGCATGACGGAAGGGTGGCCTGGCCATAGACTGGCTAGCCTGAAGCATCAATCCGAGGGGGTACTTACAGAGGAACATGCCCAGAGGTGAAGTAGTCCAGTTTTATTTTGAGTCGACTCAAAATACAGAGGTTAAGTAGTCCAGTTTTATTTTGAGTCGATTCAAAATACAGAGGTTAAGTAGTCCAGTTTGAGACGTCTCAAAAGTAAACTACTTAACCATCAATCCGAGTGGGTGCTTAGCTTACCGAGGAACACACCGAGAAGCGCATAAGCGGCAGCTGGGCGAGCCCTGTTTATTTCTGAGGCGCCTCAAAAATAGACTCCTCACGCATCAATCCGAGTGGGTGCTTACCGAGGAAGGCGCCCAGAAACGCATAACCGGTGGCGGAACGAGCCATGATGCTACAGTGGGTGTTTGCTTAACAGAGGAGGCGCATTCCGCTAATACTGGAGGCTCTGCCGTACCACGTACGTAGGAGGCTCTGCCGTACCACGTACGTAGGAGGCTCTGCCGTACCACGTCAGGAGTTAGTACCAGAGGTGTTTCTACTACTATTGGAGAGGGATGGGCAAGTATTAGACTTGATGTGAAAGCGACTCGCTAGACGAGAGAAAAGAGGGTGCTGCGAATAAGAGTCTGCTCGCCATACGGGAGATAAGACACAGCACTACTATTCTTGAGTCGACTCAAAAATCGACTTATTACATATGGGAGATAAGATACAGTACTACTACCCCCCCTTGCCACACTTGGGGGTGGCCATCAGTCCCCCAGTGAGAGCCCCGTGACCCCTCGTCTTCTAGGGGCGCAAGCAGTGTTCCCGGAAGCAACCTCGTCAGTCGTGACTCTCTGCCGGCGGAGAGTCCGACTCTGGGAGTCTGGAGAGTCAGGTAAGAGCCTCCGCCAGGGCGTGACGCCCGCCGCCCGGCTGGACGTGTGACGCCACCGCCGCCAGGGACATGGCAAGAATGGGGCCTCTTTCGGGTCCCTTTCTGGGATATGGCGTGACGCCCGCTGCCCGGCTGGGCGTCTGACGCCACCGCCGACAGGGCGTGAGACCGAGTCACCGGCAAACGCATTCTCGCCACACGTTTTTCAACCGCCATCGGACGACTCGGACTCGGAATCCGCCCGCGCAGAGGTGTACTTGTAAGGGTGCTGCACTGTAGTGGTACTATCTGTACCGTACAGTGACAGTACAGTACAATACTGTACTGTACTAGGTCCTGGGAAATCGTGACGGACAAGAGGCAAGAGGGGTGACGTCACGCGGGGCACATGATATGTCTTGCTTGGAACGAATCCTATCCAGGAGGTTACACCCTCTCATTCATAACATTCTGGATCCTTCCTTGCCTTTTGCTGCTCGCAGTAACATCTACTGCTGCTGCTTCACGCCACTCTCACGCAACCAGCAGGAAACGACTGATACCCGCCAGATGCACGACTACACCTAGTCCGCAACCCCCTGGACTCCGGACGGCGGGCAGTACGGCAACCGCAGTATGCATGAGAGTTATTCGCCGCGGCACCGACGTCGACACTGAAAAAGACAGCCATAAGGCGACGCTCTGGGCGGAAAAATGGGACATGAATGGAGGGACGGTGGAACATATGGGACAGTTTAGGGTTGGAAGATAAGGACGAGAGAAGACTGAGAATGTTCAGTTCAGCCCGAAAAGTCCAACCAGATTTAGGTCGTGTTTGGAAAAATGTCTGAGGGTCAGGGCGTGGAACATGGGTTGCGCGACCCATGGAAGTTGCGCAACCCACCCGGGTTACACAGCTCGTCAAACCTCGCATAGTCAAAACGCGACGACGGTGTGGGTTGCGCAACCCACCATGCTTTGTGCATATGCACGAAACCGCAACCCGATTTGCGCAGCCCATGTGGGTGCTATGCTGCCCGGTCCAAAATTCTGGCTGCACGAAACTAGCTGGGGATGCACCACAAAGAAGCATGCCACAGACTTCGCCGAACCCCGGTGGTGGATTCCGTTGCGCGAAAGGTGTTGTTTTGGCGAAATGGTTTTCGGGTGTTGGTGTATCGCGGGATGCTTGTGCAAAAATTCTGATTTGGAAGCGCAACCTGATGTACCCTCTTGGTTGTGGAACCCTTGGTAGTTGCGCAACCCGATGTTTCAGCATCAAACTGCGTGACTTTCTCGAGAAGCGCAATCCGGGTTGCGCTTCTGTGGGTAGCGCAACCCATATTCCACGCCCTCAGTCTCAGCAGCCGAAATTGGTTCCTCCCTAGACTTGGACAAAACGCGGGCGACGCGTTACACGAGTCGCACTTTACATTTCTGCATGCTTATATTTTCTTGATTTCGCGTATACCCACTTTGTGGAGTAAAACCTTCTCTTCGCTATCAAAGCTACAGAGCGCACTCGCACCCAGCTCACTTGTACCCCACCCTTAGGACTGGGGATAGCACTGGTCTAATATCCAGCCTGATCATGCTGTATTCAAGCATGGGATAAACAATTCCTTGGTTCAAGGCAAGAGATAATGGATAGGAAACGGAAGTAGCAACAATAGAATCTGAGGCCATAGGTGCAGAATGTGGCACTTTGAATTGTGGACAGACTACTTGGGTTGTGGACCCTTTGTGGCAACAATGTAGGTGCCTGGAAGCGACATCATCTTCTTCCACTTTGAGACGTACGCTCGCCGGGTGAAATTGTCATAATCATTGGCTTCAATCGCATCAAGGATTTGGGCATAGAGTCGCAAGGAGGCCCACACCTGAAATATAGGGCGGGAAAACAAAGGAACCAAAAGCTTAGAAGGTGACATGGAAACAAACAAGCAGACAGCACCTTAGCACGGCTCTAAACGTTTCAACCCTGACAAAGGTAGTGATAGTGGAGTACAGGGCTTCTAGAGGGAGCCGTAGACTTACCGGCCATCTGCTTTGGCTGTCGAGCTCATACACCCCCGCTTCTGCTGTCTTGAAGTAGTTGCGGGCGCGCTCGATCTGGAACTTCATGAAGCTGCGCCACTTGTCTGTCACCTTGCCCTCAAAGATGTCATCGTCAGACAGGCCAAACTGGGCCAGCTCGTCCTGGGGAAGGTACACCCGACCCCTCTGAGCACTGCAGACGGATTGTGGGGAGCATGAGGACGATTAGGTCAGTGCAGGATGAACTTTCCATGTCAAGCATGAGGAGGGGAGCAATGGCATGCACAGTGCTAGCGCATTCATAGAGTGGGGTGCTTGCACTTGCACTACTTCACAACAAAAAAGGAGCACCCTCAGCATTCTGTTGGCAAACGTAGCTTCTGGTGACTTCAGTCACAGATGGCAACAGAAACGAGACGAGCTGCTGCTTTGGTGGCCGTCCAAGCATGAGAGACCTGGGAGGGACTACTACTTACTCTTCTCCAACGTCTCGCAGGATGTTGGTGAGCTGGTTGGCAATGCCAAGGTCTAGAGCAGCCTTGTACACATCCGCTACAGGCGCTGTCGATTTGGGATCGATCCCCATGACAGGCACGCTCATAAGGCCCACAGTGCCGGCCACGTTGTAGCAGTACACGTAGAGCTCGTCAAACGTGCGGTACCGAGACTTCCTCAGGTCCATGCGCATGCCATCGACCATGTCCCTGTATGGCTGCACAGACGTCGGCAGGGATACGGAACACATTCGTTTTCCAGTGCCAGAAGCATGGTTACCCTCCTTCCTTTCAACGCATGAGGTCATAGTAGGCAAGGCCTGCGTTTCCGGACACTGAGTATTGAACAAACAAGCAGTCGTCAACAGAACTGAAATATCCAACCTAGCCTTGCTCCGTACCTGAATGCTCATGGGGAAGGTCTGGATGGTGTCTGCGAGAGCAGCATCCAGCATGTCGTACGGCCGGCCGTTGAAGAGCTCGTCTAGGCGCTCCTCCCATCTGTCTAGAGCCCTCGGGGTGATGTGAGACGCGTTCGGACCGTCCACCAGCTCGTCGGTTCGCCTGCACCAGACTGCAGCAGGAAGAGACGCAATGCGAGACGGGTGAGCACAGATGCTATCAACCTCTGAGACGTCTCAAAACATCTGTTTTAGAGCCATCGGAGTGATGTGAGACACGTTCGGACCATCCACTAGCTCGTCGATTCGCCGACACCAGACATCAGCAGGAAGAGACACAATGCGAGACCGGTGAGCACAGACATTGGTCTGTCAGTGGCTGGACATACATGGTAAGCTTACTCGTGGACGACGACCATTACGCCATAAAGACGACGTCTCTACAGCAAAATCCATTTGCGGACGATCTATTTCCATGCGACAAATCCACTCTGACGACGCGGTCGAAATTGTTTTGTAAGGTGGCAAGTACAACGCTGAAACGGCCAGCAGAGATCTTCAATTTTCTACCAAGTGGAAGCAAGGAGAGGGAGGCCGAAATACGTACCATAAATGGCCCAGATTGCTCGGCGCCTCTCAGGAGTCATCAGTTTCGTCCCTGAACAGGAACAGACAAGACGACGCATGTCAGACTAATCGAGCGCACAATATGATAAGACGGGGAAAAAATAGTGCAGGTACTATAGGGACTCACCAAGATAAAATGTCTTGGCGTACTCAGCACAAACTTCTCCACAACGCTCATAAGCCTCTGTCAACAGCTCCGGCGTCATCAAAACTGGCGTTTCTTCCTCAGCCAATGGCTTGGAAATGTAGGTGTTTGCAGCCTCCTGGACAACGACGTCAAATATTCTCTGCTCGGCAGATACATAATCAACGTCCGATTTCCTCTGGCCGGGAATCACAAGCTTGTTTTGAAAGCCCTGGAAGGCTCCGGATTGTCCGGTTGGCACATCAAGGACAGCTTGCGGTTGAGAACGCGAGGAATCTGCGCGACCTAACGAGGCACGGACGGTTTGCTTGCTGCCGATAGCTTGCTTTCCTGTGTTCCAAAATGACCGGTTTCCCCATGAAAGGCTGTGTAGGGTGGCTGATGATGCTGGCGTAGAACCGAGGTTGCTGGGAGCTGCAACCGCCAGGTCCTTCACACCAGCAGTCTGGACTAGAGTCACGGAAACCATTCTGCTTGGCAGTTTATTATGTGGAATACTGAGAGTGACGTCGTCGGTCTGCAGCGACGCTCCTCCTCTCACGCCTCAGCTTATGAAACAGAAGGGATACAGAAGGTAATCCGTGACGCAATGAAACGGAAGTAGCTTCCTGCTACTTACAACCTCGAAGGCTTGTATAATAATGCCTGTGTGTCGTGACGACTGGAGTCTCAACCACGAGCTTGTACAAGAACAAGAAAAAAAATTGGAACGACTTTGTTCTGCCAGTGTCAGACCAAAGACTTCCCCTCTGCTTGTGGCTGCCCACTGTACCCTCTGTGGAGAGAAAGCATAAAGGCTGTCAGTGTTTGAATGGATGGGTGGGGATTGGCGTGGGAAAGGAGCGGTGGGAGTCAACTGCGTCGTTTCTGTGGTGTGAAAGTTGGCAAGCAGGGTTGTTGCAGGTGAGAGGGCGATCGGGCCGTTCAGGCTGATGCTGCTGAAGGATCCGACAGTTCAGAAGAGACGACAGCGAGGCTAAATTGAGGGAGGGATGGGCTCGAGAATTTCCCCTGCCCTTCGAGAATTTCCCCGTGTGTGCGGCTCCAATGAAAACGCGCACCTGATCGCGGCGATGGCACAGGCCAGCGAATCTGGCCAACCAAACTCGAGGTGGAGATTATGTGGAGGTGCGAGGACAAGACAAGATTCGCGGGGCTCGAGAAAAAGCGTCGACGTGGCAAAATGGGGATGGGAAAGCAAAAGGTTCCCCCCAAAACCTGGGTCTAGTCAGCGCACCACTTCGAAAGTGATGGCTGAAACATGGCGCGAGTGTGGGTGATCGCTTTAGCGAGTAGAAGAAGTGACAATTTTCGGAAGTTACCACAGTCACAGGGGCAGGCAGCGACGTTCGCGACGACATCGCTCGCTCGAATCAGCTAAGGGTGCCTGCACCTAGCCCTCCCCCAACTCTCCTTTGAAATTTGTGCTTCAGGGAGGGCGAAGAGGATGTGCAATTTCAACCACACGGGTGCGCAATCCGGGAACTCCGATGTAGAGATTAGGAACACGGATAGGACGAGTCGTCTACAAGGAACACTTCTAGAGTTCACCACTCTAAGTACAAACCCGTTTACAAAGTGGCATATGTACTTAGCTTCACGAAAGATTCACTTATAGGAAGACTCTAACGGGGAAATATCCACTTTCAATCCGCCTGTTGCGTTATAATCTCGCACGATATCAGCACATAATTTGGCAGTCTGCATAGCAATCAATCATGTGAGATCCGAACGTGCACAAAATAAACAGCTCACAAGCATATACATACCAAGGGCTTCCACAACCGTGCTCGAGCATTTACAAACCAGTCTTCGACCTGCCATGTCAAAATTGGTTAAATAACACAGCTATGACCTGAATACCCAGTAAGGCAAGATCTTCCTTACCTGCTTTTTGGTGATGTTGAAGGCGTTTATAAAGCCCATCTTCTCTTCCTTCGATGGTTTCCTGAGGAGACGTGAGCATACATGCAGTCGATAGATCGGCCCAAATGAAGTTTAGGGATAGCAGACAGCATCCAAAGGAAAAGCACGGGGTTGAGACAGGTAAACATAACAATCACAACTGAATCTACGACCAAAAGGAAGCTACTAAACCAGCAGTATGCAACACAGAACAGCACAGAATCCATCCATCCCATCCCATCCCATCCCATCCCATCCCATGCCACCACACAGCCAACATCCCCATCCCCACTCAGATGAATATGAACTTACGGGTTATCCCAATGCGTGACCATCCACTGTAGCATCTTCTGGGCGGCAGCTTGGGGCAACGCCCCCCTTGCTCCCGACAAGCCCAACTGCTCCCTTGCACTCACCGACCTCCTCTCCCTCCCTTCCTTCCTCCTCCTCTCCCTTTTATCACCAATGCATTGAGAAGGGCTTGCACAATGTGACAGTGGTGGTGATGGTAGCGGTGATAACAACGGTGGTGATACTGTTAAAATAGGCGATCCTGCAACTGGTTTTAGTGGCACTGGTAATGCTGGCTGGGGCAGCAGCAGAGGTGGTGGCTGCACTGGCGTGTGTGACAGTAGCGGGAGTGACAGTGCTGCCTGTGAGAAGTCTGACCGTTGCGGCATTCTTGCTGGCTGCAAGCGCATGGTTGCCACGACAGTGCCCATGAGTGGCCTCCCTGTTCGTGCATGTGACAATGTAGCGCGTGTGAGTGCATGTGACAATGTAGCGCGTGTGAGTGCATGTGACAATGTAGCGCGTGTGACTGCAGCAGGGGCGAGAGGTGACGGATTGCCTGAATGGATGCAGGGCGAAGGAGAGGGAAGGATGGAGTCAGTCGTTACATGAGCAAGGCAAAGACACCGTGCACTGCTCCTCCCACCTTCCCACCCACTTCAAACCCCTCCCTGCAAGTTCAAGCCCATCCCTGCCTTTGCTGCTTCACCCAAAGCCCCCGCTAGGCCTCCCCATTCCACAGATTATACATCCCCCTTCCTCGTTCGTCCCCCTCCATCTCCCCCCCCGCCCCAACCCCCCTTTGAGATAGTCAATCACCATCCCTGCAGGTCATCTCACCCAAAAGCAGTGTTCTGCCACTTACTCCTAAGAGTCTTACTTAGGATGCGGCTGAATCGTGACGTGAACCAGTGGATCGCAGCAAACGGGGCAGGCGCCTCAGAGGTAGAGTAGGGTAGAAGACCACATGAGATGCCATCAGCAAGGGTGCCATGAAGCGGGTCAAACGAACGCAGTATCTGTAACGAGCGGACCTCCGCTGTGCCTCCTGCCCCCTTCATGACCCCTTCGCCTGAAGGATCCCGCAGTAAGGCTGGGGCTAGCACAGCACTGTTAGGCGGAGCAGGTGAGGTGCCAGAAGCAAGTGTGCGATGGAGTGGGTCAAAGGCACAGAGCATCTGTGCCACATGAGCCTCCGCTGTGCCTCCTGCCCCCTTCGCCACCCCTTCTCCTTTCCCCATCCATCCTGCTCTCAAGCCCGTTGCCTCCTCAGCCACGGCTACACTCCCATCCCCTGAGGTCGCAGCCACCGCTGCAGATTCAGCAGCATCTGCTGTAGTAGTCCCCACAATTTGTGCAAGTTGTGCGGCACCACCGCCCATCAATGCTTGAGGTGCTCCATGGATAGTTTCTGGGGCCTCAGCAAGGCAGCCCATCAATGCTTGAGGTGCTCCATTGATAGCTTCTTGATGGTGGATGGTCCCAGCAAGGCAGCCCATCATCCAGCCCACCTCAACCAACAGCGCTCCCACCACCACCTTCAGCCTACCTGGCTCCTCTCCTGCCTCTTGCCTCGTCTGCCCCCCCTCCCCTCTGTTCCCAGATACCTCACAAGCGAAGAAGGGCCCGTCTCCTCTCTCCCGCCTCGACTGCTCCCTTTCCCCTCTGGTCTGAGGCGCCTCACAGCAGAACGGAGGCCCCTCTCGTCCCTGTTGACCCATCAAAACCTCCTCCCGTCTGCCCATCCCCCATTCGTGCTCTCCCCCCTTCCAGTCTTCCAGTAAGATCGCGCCACCCTCTCCCCTCTCACCTCCCACAGGGTCTCCCTGCTCCTCCCCTGCTTGCCCTGCCTGCTGCTCCCCTGCTTGCCCTCCCACCTCTCTGTTGCACGAAGGAACAGCTAGTTTGGCCTCTCTCCCACAAGCGCTGGCAGCAGCCACACCACCAGACGCCGTGCCAGCAGCAGCAGTAGCAGCAGCAATGCCAGCACCATTACCAGCAGCAGCACCAGCAGCAACAATAGCACCAGGAGGAGCAAGGACGGGCGAAGAAGAATCTTGGGTGCTGTGAAAAGCAGGCAGAAAGGGAGGAGACGAAACAGCAGGCGCAAATCCTCCCACCACCCCTCTTCCCACCTCCATCCCTCCATCCTCCTTCGCCTTCTTCCTTGCATTACCCCCATCCCTCCACACTCTCCTCCTGCCAGCCACTCGAAGGGGTTTCTGCACCCCCCCTGCTTGCAAGGCAGGCTGGGAATCCTGCATAAGTGGTGGGCTAAGTGTCAGTCGTGAGCTGAAGGCCAGTGGCAAGCTAAGTGGTGGTGGTGGGCTAAGTGCGGGTGGTAAGGTAAGTGCTGGTATCGCTCTAAGTAGCGGTGGTGGGCGAAGCGCAGGCAGAATGGTAAGTTGGGGTAGGAGCATTGGAGGGGAGTTGAATATGGGAAGAGGTTTGAGTGCAGGCGAATGGAGGAGCGAGGGCGACAGGTGGAGTGGTATGGGAGGAACCCCAAGAACAGATGGCGATGGTTGGAGTGGTATGGGTGATGGGGATGGTGTGGGTGGGGTGGGTCGTGGTGATGGTGATGGTGCTGGGGCGGGGGGATTAGGTGATAGGCACAGCAGGGAGACTCGCTTTTGTGCCTGCTTCATCTCCTCCTGCTGCTGCTCCCGCTGCTGCTGCTGCTGCTGCTGCTCCCACTGCTGCTGCTGCTGCTGCTGCTGCTGCTGCTGCTGCTGCTGCTGCTGCTCCCGCTGCTGCTGCTGCTGCTGCTGCTGCTGCAAGTGATGTTGCGAGTCCTGCTGCTGCAGGTGCTGTTGCTGTCGGTCGTGGTGGTGGTGCCTCTGCTGCTGCTGCTGCTGCCATCCCGGCTGTGTGCTTGGTCCGCCTGAAAGCAAAATTGGTCGGGAAGCAGAAGTCGAAGCAGGAAGGGATAGCCGTGGCAGGGACAGAAGCTGGTGATACTGCCGCTGCTGCGGCTGCCGGCGCTGCTGCTGCTGCTGCTGCTGCTGCTTCGGCGGCGGCGGCGGTTGCTGCAGTTGCTCCAGCAGCAGCAGCTCCATCCCATGCCCGCCACCAACTGCCTGATCAGCACTCCCCGTCCACTCGGAATCACCAAACGACCAGCCACGGGCCAGATGCTGCTGCTGCTGCTGCTGCTGCTCTTTCTCTTGTGCCTGTTGATGCTGCTGCAGCTCCTTCTTTTGTGCTGGCTGCTGCAGCAGCAGCAGCTCCATCCCATGCCCGCTTCCAGCTGCCTGGTCACCACTACCCATCCACTCAAAAGCACCAAACGACCAGCTGCGGGTAGGAAGAATTAGACTTGCGCTCATACCATTGCCATGCATGGCATGACCACCCATGCCATGACCACCCATGCCATGACCACCCATGCCATGACCACCCATGCCATGACCACCCATGCCATCTATGCCATGACCACCCATGCCATCTATGCCATGACCACCCATGCCATCTATGCCATGACCACACATGCCATCTATGCCATGACCACCCATGCCACTTTGGCTTGCCACTGTTCCCATGCCCTCAGCATGCATGCCATGACCACCCATGCCGTCGTTATCCATCATCATGGCCCCGGATTGCAAACACCCCATTCCCACATCCCCATCCTTCTCACTAGCACATGTACCCGTGCACAAGTCACTCGCATCCATATTGACACCAGCACCACCACCAGCACCACCACCAGCACCCACACATGAGCCACCACCAGCACCCACATCAACCCCACCATAAGCACCGAAACCAGCGCCTATGCCCATGACCATACCCATGCCACAGTTCTCACCCTCGCCTGTCTCCATGCTCCCATTCACCAAGCCTTCCATCATGCCTATCTCGGCTTCACCCACACCCTGCACCCCGTCCTGCTGCCCCATCTCTAGCCCTCTCACGGACACACCCACCTCCATGCTCCCATCCACTAACATCCCCTCCATCAAATCTTCCAGGATTTCTTCCCTCAGCGTCATCTCCCCTGGGTCAGTTTCGCCCGCTTCCTGTAGACTTCTATCCAAGTCCCTTCCCAAGACCTCCTCACCGCCCATTGGTGTATGGTCACGGCTTGCTAGTGGCGAGCCAGGGAGAGACCACATCCAATCAGACTCGTCCAAGGTAGTCAGGGAAACCCGCGGAATCCCACAGTTTTCGTCTCGTCGAACGAGTGAACCCCCCTGCCAGCTTGCTGCACCTCCTGGCTCCTCACCGCGCATAGTCCCATTCAAGGCCACCACGTCCTCCCAGATATTCTCTTGATCCGTGACATCCTCACCTGCAATCTCTCCGCCTGCAATCTCTCCGCCTGCAATCTCTCCACCTGCATTTTCTTGACCTCCAATCTCCGCCACTCCTTGCTCGGCTCCCCCCACTGCACCAGTCCCATTCGAGGTCGCAATGTCCTCCCACATATCCTCTTGATCCCTCTGTGCATCACCCGCAATCCCCTCACCTGCCGCCTCTTGACCTGCAATCTCGTCCGCTCCAATGACTTGATCTGCCAGCACGTGGTCGGCCACAGTCCCTTGGTCGATCATCACTTGCCGCTTTGCCTCGTAATCCGCCACGTCATGAGCTGCCACGTCATGGGTCCACTCAAGCCCAAACTCATGGTTCGCCACGTCAAATTCGAAATGGCTACCACAATCGTCACCATTCTGCAAGCTCAATTCTAGGGTTTCACGAGAGGGAACGCTACGAAATTGGTAACCATCTTCGCCATAACCCGCTGCCAGGGATTCGCCGTACTGATCCGTCAGGTTGCCGTCCGTCGGGTTACCAACGGCGCTGCAAGGAACGTCCGTACTTCTAGACGGCCGGCCGGGGCTCTGCAGGCTGCTGACGTCATCAGGAGCAAGGAGAAGGTGTGGGAGGGGTTGCGAGAACAGCTGCGGAAGCAGATGGGAGAACAACTGGGATTCATAGTCCAGAGCGGAAAATACGCCGCCATTGTCGTCGCTCTCCGCTGGAGTTTCGGCGTCCGCGATTCTCGCTGACGTGCGCTCTGAAGGCTGCTTACGTGGAGCAATCTCCGGATTTTCGGGGAGATGATGCGTGGGAAGAGCGTTACGAGAGGCATGGCGCGTAGGGGGGTTTAAGTTTTGATTTATCAGCGACGGAAGAATCGCTGACGGTGCTAGGGACATTCACCACCGCAACACCGCCGTACGCGATATAGAGTGCGATCTGAAGCTTCCTAGCATCAGATAACTCGGAAGAACTGACAGGAAATTCAGGCGCCACAGCGAGGGAACGGAGCAGAACTGGGGGAGGAAACTATAATCGAAAAGGCAATTTTGAACAGCAATCTTGGCTGGAGATTGTTGAAAGCCGGAAACCGGAGAGGCGTGACCCGTGACTCGTGCCAAGGCACGGGTGTTGGCGGATCTGCAGTGAGGGGAAGAAAGCCGTGCGAAGCGAACGATGAGATCGCTTCGATCTGATTTGCGGAAAGGGAGGGATCTGGCCGAAGGGATGGGATCGAACGCGATCGGCAGGCTGGGATCGGGACGGTAGGAATCGGAACGGTACGCTGAAGGAAGCGGAACGGATAAGCGCCATCGCCTATGGCCATGACGGCGGTTCGAGTGTTGAAGGGGAGAGAAAGGGATTGTTGTTCTACTGCAAGCTCCGGGGAAGAGATGCGACATGGAAGACGAAGGAGACGCCGCGGAGTATGGATGGGTTCGAGACGGTAACCACGTGACACGGCACGCAGAGCGGTGTGCCTGAAAGACCGCCGTAAGCCAAGGGCCTGGTGCCGGCGTAAGCTGCAGTCGTATCAGCAGAACGAATGACGCCATGGATGGATCCTGGAGAGGGAAAGTCAAGTTTCGCAACGTGTGCCTTGCTTTCGTCAGCCAAACTCCAAGACACAGGCTCACGTCACAATCTAGGAGCGTTTTGCACCAGAGAACGAGAAATAACTATAGTTACGGATTTTTGTGAAACCGAAAGCTTGTGTGGATAATAACGAAGGACCAATGACGAGTACAGAGGATGTTTGGCAGAAACGCGATGTTGCCGGAGCTCACCCGCCGTGAGTCACGCCGGTTAGGAAAACGCAACCACCGCGAAATCCTTATCAAAACGAGGGCGCGCATTTGCGAAATTCTTTGCACACCTGGCTCGGCACTCGGGTTTGATCCAGAGGTCACGATTTTTGCGAACGTGAATGAATTCGACTGTTCCGTGGGACGAAGAATCACGAGGGAGCTCAATGAGGTTACTTCACCCACCAAATCCGTCGCAAACACATTTTGAGGGAACACATTGCTGAGGGAAAATTACTGCCGCGGACTGACCGCAAATCTTTTCATACTTTCGTGGACAGCCCCTACTTTCATGGACACCACATCAACCTTTCGCTTCTCCCGTGGACTCCGTCCCTACTTTCATGGACATCCGCCTTACTTCCATGGACAAGGTCAAAATCGCAGGAAATAGGCGAAAACTCAACTGTACAAAAAATGACGGGCGCTGAAAAAAAAAACAGCGGTTCAGCGTGCGTCGCAAAGAGTCGCGCACTACAGTGCCCCAAACCTAGTCCGAAACAGAATCTCCCAGAAATTGGGAATTTGACTTTCACGCCAGGTTTTCGTTTGGTGCGTTTGGCACAAAAAGTCCTGTGACGTGTGATTCGGCAGGCAGTACCTACGCGTTTCTCCGCAACTGTACTTCAGAAGGAAAAATCTGTACGCTCTGTAAATTTGTATACCAGTTCAGACTCGTGCTGTTGTTGTTTTTTACACTATATTCGCAAAAGGAAATGTTTCATTCTCATGATGAATGTTTTTGGAGGATTTCCCTGCATAAATTCCAAAATATATTATGTTTTTTAACAAGGATCTAAATAAAATTGCTTCTTTGAAATACAATTCTGATTCCGTTCTGGATTAGGTTTGGGGCACTGTAGTGCGCGACTCAATGCGACGCAAGCTAAGCCGCTGTTTTTTTTTTTCAGCGCCCGTCATTTTTTGTACAGTTGAGTTTTCGCCTATTTCCTGCGATTTCGACCTTGTCCATGGAAGTAAGGCGGATGTCCATGAAAGTAGGGACGGAGTCCACGGGAGAAGCGAAAGGTTGATGTGGTGTCCATGAAAGTAGGGGCTGTCCACGAAAGTATGAAAAGATTTGCGGTCAGTCCGCGGCAGTAATTTTCCCCATTGCTGAACTCCTACGGGTTTGGGGCAAAGCTCACAGGCGATTCGTGTTGGCCCACAAGCCTAACGCGATGCTGCCTTCCCGTCATTCGCGCCAGCATTCTCACCCTTTTTCGTAAAGAATTCCTACCCAAGGCTGGTCCCACCAGAGTGGTTTTCTGGTCCCACTCTGCCTACCATGGCACCAGAGTGGTTTTATGAACCCACTCTGCTTGCCACAGCACCAGAGTGGTTATCTGTGCCCACTCTGCTTGCCATGGCACCAGCGTGGTTTTATGTTCCCACTCTGCTTGCCATGGCTTTCATCCATTCCATATTTGCTTACACACGCTTGCCATTGCTACGGACTTGTTGGAGTGTCCCCAGCTATGCCATGGCATCCGCCCTTTTTTCAGTGCACAATCTCCCTTCAATCCGTGCCATGATTCCTTGTTTGCCGTTCAAGCCATGTTATTGCTACCCATGTTGTTGCACATGTCGATTACCCCATCCCGTGGCACCACAGGGGCTTGTGTGCGATGTTATCAGCCGCCTAGTTTACGGCACGCCTTCGCGTTTCATGAGCATGTGGCCCTCGGACGAGGTGGTGGAGAGAACCATTCAGGAGTGTTTGATGATGGTCACGGAAGAGGCACTTTACAGGATCCACATTGCTTTGCGCAATGATCCGGTGCGGAGTGGGTTCTTCAGAGACCGATTCAGCGCACTGCGCGCCAACACCCTGGACCAGGCGCGAGTTTGGATTTTCCTTACCTTTGGCCTCCCATTTGCCATTCCCCAGCACACTCGCGCACGCGTTCCTATCGTGCGGGGCAGCCCCCAAAGCGTTGAGGATTTCCTGAAGGAGTATGCTGTTGGTAAGTGGTGTTTCTACAAACCTACCTGGAGGCGTGCTTATGCTGAATATATTGACGCTGGTGTGGGGCACTCACCAATCATATCCTCTTTATTTGCTTGCACAGATGCGGATAGCCATGACCTCTTGACATGGCACCGTATCCCCAATGCTAAGGACGGCATCCCTTTCACGCATGAAGCCTTCGAGGCAGCAATCAAGGCTGCCCTGTTCAGATACAAGCCCACCCCAACCGTGGTTCGCCTATACCACATCGCCTATTTTCTGATGGGGGTGAGTGTAGCTACTCTAGCTCCCATGAGTTAATTGTTTGTGGTCTCTTGCCAGGGGCTCAGCCTTTGTTCTCCTCCGTTTCGTTCAGGTTGAGCACCGCATCCTTAACAAGGGCGCGGACCTGAAGCACAGCTCTTCTTACGGCATTAACTTGACGAACGTGTACTTCAAGAGGGTAACGGCCTGGTGCAAAGCTGCAATCGCAAAACCCGGTCCAGCCGGGCGACCCCGTTTCGACGAGGCGGCGAAGGCATGGGACTTCTCTGGCAGCGGCACCATTTTGATCCAGTTTGACTGATCGTACATGGCCAGGAGAGGGAAGATCAGGGATTCAAGTGGGTTGTATTTGTGGAGGTTGTCAAATGGGCGTCTTTAATTGGTCCGTTCGGGTAGACGTTCTGTGGGGTGAAACTTTAGAGGCGCTAATATTTCCCATGAGTGATAATTGTTCCACATTTCCTCGGCATTTTTTTTGCGACATTCACAGGTGCGAGCGATGCTTGTGGGCAGTTTGGTAACACAACATCGGCTAAGCACTTCGAGAAAAGCCATTGTAGTGTACATTCTATATGTATCCGATGCTCAACTCCTCGTCACACGTCCTACCCACCTGTACACTCGTCAAATTTTGTACCAACCAGTCCACCGTGTTGCTGATGTCCACGTGGCACAACCATCCCTTGAGAGGCCAGCACCAACGACGCCCTCCTGAGCCATCACACTGACCGGCCCCTGGAGTTCTCTCTCCCATCCTGCTTATTGTCCAGACAGCAATGAGTTTCTTGCACACTAGTATGTTTTGGCACGGCAACCCCTTTATCCTCGTTCTCCCACTGACTGTTTCCTCCTGGTGAACACCTCCTTTCAAACAGCGCTGGCTCTGCTGGCTGCACAGCGAGACAGCATGGCAGTCCCGCGGATATCGCCCGAAACGAGCTCACCTAGGTACGCAGCGGCAGCCATACTCTGCAAGCTCGGATTCTATGTGTTTGCTTCGCCGGCTATTAATGCCCACGTTTCTCGCCCACTCTGCCACCCCTTGTATGGGGCATAAGTGCGCTTGTTTTGCTTTTGTGTGCTCGTTTTCGTCGCAGGATGCTCTCCCACGTGCGGAGCTGGTCATGCGACTTGGATGGAGTTACGATGGGTCCGACGTCGCGGTTGCAACATCTGATATGTCAGCGACGAAAATGTCAAACTCGCTGCCTGCCGTGGGTTATGTGGCGTGACGATTTTTTCCTTAGATGTTTTTCTGCTTGCGACCTTCCTTCACCATGCTGCCCATGTGGTTTTTCCTTGCACCTCGCGTTCCCCTCCCTACCAACCCGCCCCCCTCGGCCCGCTTCTCTGAACTCGCAGCTAACCGGTAGGAGTCCGGCGGGGCGGGTGAGCTTCACGTTGTTTTTTCTGCTGCGGGAGGCGCGCGTTTCTGACGGTGCATCGCTGGCGGGATGCGGGCGATTGCGACGGTGCACAAGTGGCATGACGCATGCGCTTCTTTTCTTTTGTATCGGCTGGCGGGACGCCTGCGCTTATCGCGGAGTACGCGTGGGATTCTCTGTTGGAGCACGTCGGACGCGACATGAGCATAACCGGGGGTACGCCGAGGGTCATTTCGTGCGCTTCTAACATGCTCTCGGGGCGCGTCACCGAAATCAGGTATGGATGTAGCGACTCCGCATCCCTAGCCCTTTGCCACATATCTACCTCCTCCCCCCTTCCCCTCTGAACCTCCCACCCTATCCCCCCCCCTCCCACCTCCCCCTCCTCCTCCCTCCCTCATTACGATCCCCCCTTCCCCACACCTCTCCGCTTGTTACCGTTGGGTTGTCCCTCTTAGTTTCTTATGAAATTGTTCCCAGGTTCATGCCATTCATGTTTTTTTCTTCTTCTTTTTTTTCTCAAGCCGCCATGTGCTCCCCCTTTTCCTCACCCAGCCTCTGTCTTTTCCGCCTCTGTGTTCATATCCGTGTCAGGTGACTCAGGGCTGACTGCTCCGACTCCCCATCGTCAGGTGTGGTCTGGTGTGCTTGCTGTTCTTTTCTACATGGGTTTTCCGATAGGAGGGATGTTGTTTCAGCGTGCCGCCTATCCCTGCCATACCCCTAAACCACTGTGTTGTGCTCTAGTTTGCGCCGTGTGTTGGCGACGCGCACGTGCACTCAACGCGGCTTTTGCCAGTCTTGACATGGGTAACTGCAGGTGGCGTCCATATGGCAAATGGGCTTGGCATCATCTGGGCGTTACCCACGTGCTGGGATTTTCAGTGGCAAGCTTTCACCGTTGAGTTGTCGGAGGGTAAGATGACACATGCCTGAAAGCAAATCCTGGGGTTTTTCTGTATTGTTTTACAGAGGCATGCTTATGCTGGCCTTTTCTGGGGTGAATGCAGGACAACATTTACACTTCGCACAGCTGACGCTGTTTATGGCAGTAGTGTTGTGTGCAACTGAAGGCTACCAGCGGCACATTACATGCACCACAAATCTGTCTTGTGTTTGGCATGTCTTGTTTGTAGTCCCCCTCCCTCCCACTGCACTGCATTTGCCATTCGACCAGCCAGTCACAGAGAGGCACAGCATATGACCCGCCAGTCCACTGAGTAGCTATGATGGGTTTTTATGGTTAATAATCCCCTTGTGATGTTTGGAAGGTTACCACACCTTGTGTCTTTAGTGACATAGTTTTCGCAGAGCCAATAACAGGCAGTTTATAAAAGATTCGCTGCATTTTGTTTTGGAACCCCAACGCGGCTCGTCTGATTAACTACAGTAAAGGCTTTGTTTGAAGATGGGTCGTTATTGTGTCCGTGCAGGTGCTATAAGTGTAGTGGAAACCATATGCGAATCCCAATTGTGAAAACGGTGGCGGTTAGTGTGGTATACTAAATCGGAGGATGTATCCGTATCGGGACGCCTTTGACGGGGATGGCTTGCTATTTTTCTAACCATAACGACAGCATTTTGCAAACGACGTAGTGTTCTCCTTATACTTGAACGCGAACCCAGTTTTGCCGGAGATGCGCACGGGTCAAATTGTTCCCACCTAGACCCCCGCGTGTCACGTGAAGGTGACCCGGTGGTGTCGCGTGGGTTACAACACATGGGACACCTGAGGGTTACCTCGAAGGGCATTCTGGCTGAGGGTTTCGCGTGGGATACCCAGTCGGAAGCCCCAGGGTCACCCGCTGGCGCGAAACCCCAAAGTCACTTGTGGTAAAGTTGGGGGTAACATTTCGCCACCACGATTTTTGGGATGGGTTGCGGGCGATAAATTCACTGGTGGTCGTCGCACGTCGCGCGTCGTGCGTCCCTTCACTGGCTAATCAGGGTCTGTGACTGGCTAGGTACACGCGAGGCCGACACGATGCGCGCTTATGCGTCTGCCGCCGGTATGCATTATCGTTCGTGAGGGGCTTTCGCGGTGTTGCTAAGAATCTTGAGGGAGATTTCGGCAAAGCGGTAGGCCGTACCTATCGTACCAGCAGGTGCGATATGGCGTGTCCCAAGAGTACGTCTTCCTGACATCTCGTACAGGTTCAAAGCGGTTTTTTACGGTGAAAATGGCGAAGTTGGAATACCGTTTTCAGATAATTTTAACCGTACACCACCGCATAACGATTTCTGTGGGGCGTTCTCTTGGGGCACGCCCTTAGACGTGAAGGACCACGCATGTCTGGATGGAAAGGTGGTGCGTTGACCGCGCAAACCTGACAAGTGGAAGGGCCACTGAACTGTAGTCAGGTGAGTGCAGGTACAGTTCTGAACTGTACAGCACAGAGGGGTCGGCTTAAAAATGCCCCTGATCGTCTGAAGATTCACCTGCGCTACGAATGCAGAACGCTGCGCCAGATTTGGCGAACATCCCCCGATGATGCGCAGCATGTGTTGTAAGGAATTACGATTCCTTACTGGGGCTTGCCACAGCGAGTACTCGCGAACCTCTCGGTTCCGCAGGCTCGGCCCTCAAGTCACGCGCCAAACCAGCCCCCGTCGACCTTTCCGGCCCCAACCTCAACCCGAGTCACCCCGAAACCATTTTGACCCCGTCACCCTCGGGACTGTCGAGCCCTTGACTGGTCCAGCCTTCGACATTCAACCTAGTCAACTGGCACTATATAAGCGCTAGGCCTCATTTCTATCGATATACTGTAATCACGTTTCACTTATAGTATAATCAGCGGGTATCAGAGCTACGTTCCTGCCCATTAGGCTTCCGGTAGGGGAGCAGACCCTATCAGGGAAGGGGGGGGAAGGATGCTGATGGCGAGCGGACGTCATGGAGAATAATTGCGCGGGCGTTGCCGATTGCGTCAGATCCTGTCCGATGGACAGTTGGGATTGGCCGGTCCTCCCCTTCCCTGAGCGTAGACGGAATTATCTCCCGTCGAAGAGTGGGCGACGTTTTCGCCGTGTTTTCCAGGTATGTTCGTTAGAGCTTTCGTCATTTTCGGGTGTTCGGATGGAGTCTTCGGATTGGCTTCCGAAAAAAGTGAAGGCTTCGTCATGAGAAGACAAGTGCACGGGAGTCCTTAAGCGGCCAGCAGTTGGTCGTCAGGAACGCGCGGGGTGGCGAAAATGACGGGATGTATGGCGATGTACGTCTGGCACGCCATGCAGCGGCAGGATGAACTGTAGCTGTGTCGCGGGTCCCAGCGTTTCCGGCAGGCTAATAGCAGGCGATGGACGAGACCTCAACACTATTTCGGCAATGGGCGCATCCGACAATTTCGGAACGACACGATCGCACGAGGACGTGTGGGTATGAAATGGTGTGGAGCAGCTGGGATTAACGACCTCAGCGCTATTCACCACGACGGCCATCTGGAGGAGATGGCGCTGTGCTGGAGTGAGTGTACTCAACGAGGGCGACTTCCCACGTGGGGAGGCGTTTTTCGTGGACCAACGATTCATACCCCCACGATCAACAGAAATGCAGGCCACCACCTCTGGGTATGTATTAAGTGTTTTTCCACCGATCGTCGAATGCGTTAACTATCAGGAGCTGAACGACTAGAGTATTGGAGCACATGGGTTAGCGGCGTTCGGGCTGCTACTCGTTCAGCTACGTCGTCCAAAAATTACCATTCCCACCGGGTAGCAGTGTCGACTTATTAATCGACGGCTTCTAACTGAATAAGGGGGGTGAACCTGCGAACTACACAGTGCTGATAGAGTGTCCCCGGAATTTTAGGAGTTACTGTTGCAGTGGAGCTTAGGGTTTTCACCAGGTGAAGCAGAAGGAGGTTATGACTTTTGCGGGTGTAGTTTGACGAGTTTCCGACAAAGGAGAGAGCTGTCTAGCAATTAGTAGGCGAGCTCGTTAAAGCTCATCTGACCAGAAGTGTGTGCACTCCTATGACTGCGGATTCTCCTAGTTAGTTAAGCAGCTGCGAAGCGGTCTTGGGTAACGTGCAGCAGCCGCGAAATGGGTGAACGTCTGCACGGCCAGCTAGCAGGGGTACCAGAGTATTTTAGAGTTGGGTAACACCTGGGCGGAGATCGACGGCGTATGATGGGCATTGACCCTGATTGACGGCCAAAACATCATGCCGAGGTGGTGGACTCTGGTAAACCCTAATATAAAGGGTTCATTTCATGGAGCAACTGTGGGACGCTGCTAAAGGACGCCGTGATGCCTGGGCATTTTTACGGGTAGCTGTGTAGCGGAGTTATGGTATTTGCTAGGTACCAAGTGGTTCCGACATTTTCGGTGGGTTTGAGGAGCAGTTCAAGTGTTTACAGCTGGAGTCGTGCCCGCTATCTTCAGGGGTACGAGCGACATCGACCGATATTTTCGGAATATTTTGAGTGCCTGGAGGAGGAGGAGAGCAGTAGCTGTTTCGGTTCTTCTCGACATTTTCGGCATGTATGGACAACGAAGCTGATGCAGCTGGCGTCACTCGACCCGGTGATCGGTTCGAGGTTTTCAACTGGAGTGATTCAGTACATGTTATAGGTCATCGCCATTGTCGTCTTCCTCTCGCCACCACCCGCTACCACCTCCATTCTCAATTCGCCTGATTGTGTGAACACGACCCCGCCTCGCCATCCGAATCGACAGCAGCAGTATCGACGCGAGAAGATTTTGCAGCAGTACTGTTGGAGCTGAGTTAGGACCAGATCGCAAGCAGTGTTCCTATTCGTGCAAATTTTTCAGTTCGTCTGGGAGTCTTCCGGAGCAGTTCCTTCTCATTTTCAAGACCATTGGAGTGATTTACCCTGCAAAGGCATTTCAACTTTGGAGCATCTTTCGGAATTATTAAGGCTGGAGTTTTTTCCAGCGGCATCTTCGAAGCTGAGTTTGAGACTTTTAAGCAGCAACGTGGGATTCTTCGTCTACCATGGAGCATTGGGTTTCCTGAAGTTTTACCTGGGAAATCGGGAGTTGTTTTCTTCTTGGAGGGGGGAGAAGTGCAGCTGTGTTGCAATTTTCTGCCGACCAGTGCTGTGTTCGGGCAGAGGGTCTTGCCTTATCTAGTAAGTACCTCGGGCATGGGGCTAGTGCTAGGAGGACGGAGACCAGTGGTCCTTACCGGGCACACAGACACTTCTTGGGCAGACGACGCCGAGACTCTGAGGTCCTCACAGGGCTCCTCCTTTAGCCTTAGTGCAGGTGCCATCTCGTGGAGGTCCACCTGCTCCTCGTCTATTGCCCAGTCTAGCTGTGAGGCTGAGATCTACGCAGGTGCCATGGCGGCACTGGAGCTCCGCTGGCTGACCTTCTTGCTCACCGACTTGGGTGAGCAGCCTAGCTCTGCCCCGGTTCTGTTCGCTGACAACTGGGCCATTATCCTCCTGTGTCAGGAGCCTCTACTTGAGGGTAGAGCGAAACACATCCAGCTGCAGTACTTCCTCCTGCGCGAGCTGCAGCAGCGTCGCCAGGCTCGTATAGTACACTTGGCCTCAGGTGCCAACACGGCTGATATCTTTACTAAGGCGCTTGCGCCTAAAGATCATCAGTGGCACTCTATACAACTAGGTCTCGTTCCTGTAGCCTTTCACTTGCTAGGACCCTGATTGTGTACAGACCTTTATATATTACCCAGACTGGCCTTGTTGCCTCTTCCCAGTGGCTGGACTAGTAGTGCCACCCTGGTCTTGCTCTTGCATTTTGTGTACTTGTTTGACTGGTCTTTAGACCCCTGCCTCAGAGGCTGGACTAGTAGTGCCACCCTGAGCTATTTCTCTCTCATCAGGCATTGCCCCTATCCAGTCTAGGGGGTGTGTCAAACGTATATTGTATGTTACTATAGACTATACAGGGTTGTGCCTTAGGGAGTACAACCCATTAGGCTATATACCCTTGTATGTCTTGTTCTAGTCAACACTTTTCACTTTATCAGAAACGTCACGCCCTTGTAGCGCCCCGGTTGGGAGATCTTGGACGTCAATCTTTAGCGACCATCGAATGGTCGAAACATGTCGAAACGATCGCAACGGATCGAGGGCGTCAAAGTTTGAAAGAGTTTCAGTTGACCAAATGGGCAATGGACAAGAATGTCCCTGAAGGGGACGACTATTAGAAAATAATTGTTTCGTCTCTCCCTCTCTAGGGGCCAAAACATTTTCATGCTCTGGCATCGTCGTCAATATCCTTAAAAGTTCTGTAAATTTCTGTGTCTATTCTTTTTTTACTCTGGTTGTACTCGCTGGACTCTGAGAAAATCAGACAAGCTTAGTTCTCGACTCCAACGTTGCAGAGTACCGAGATTTTGGCTGAAGGTGTCGTGAAGGTAGGATAGCTAGGACGCCATGACTATGGCGGCAGGGTTTAGCTAGGAGGAAGGCGAGGAGAATGTCGAGAGAAAAGGTGGATCAACTAGAAGAGAAACAGGTACAAAAAGGGGAGTTATCCCCTCTACAGTAGGATGCAATAGCACAACTACCAAGCCTATAATTACATAAAATACAATTTGAACAGAAGGCCCTTTTTTTTTTTTTTTTTTTTTTTTTTTTTTTTTTTTTTCCGGGGGGGTTGGCTCAGAGTGGTTTTTTTTTTAATGTCAGCCCTGCTCTCAGGTCTAAATCAGCATAATAATCTGACTCTCGGGGTCCAACTTCGTGCCTGAACATGTGCGTTCCTTTCCCTGCATATTGCTCTCTTTGGTAAAAAAATAATGTACAACATAACAAGCATACAATACAGTATAACACGGCATAGAACGTTACCCACCTAACTCAGCCCCCTAAACAATACACATGCGTAGCTTTTGCCAACCAGGTGCAGATAGGAAAGACAACCGAAAAAAGTGGCAATATGAAAACCAAATAGTTCAAACTCATTTAACAAACTCCCAGCAGAACCAGGAACTGAGAAATCTGTGGTGCCACCAGCACATGCTTCCCATGCTTCATGCAGAGCATGTTAAAATTATTTAAGTTATAATTTATATAGGCTTGGTAGGTTGTTACTGAACCTTTTCTGTAGAGGGTACAAACCCCTCCTTGTACTCCTCTCTCTTCCTAATCCAACCCTCTTTTCCTCTCCTCAACTTTCCTAGCACCTAAAACCTCTCGCCATTCTCATGGCTCCTCCTAGCTCCTAGCTAAACCTTGTGCCATTCTATGGCTTCCTAGCTAAGCTAGTCTTTTGACATGGTATCAGAGCAGTTCGTTCCGTGTGGGCCTGCTCCTCGCGTTTCCGCTGCGTGCTCGTTTCTCTCTCTATCTCGCGCTGCCATGGCGGCCGCGTCAAGCTGCTGTGGCCGCGTCGTCGTGCCGCGGCGCCGCTGTCGACGTCCATGGCGCCCGCGTCCAGCTGCTGTGGCCGCGCCGTCGTGCCGCAGCTCCGCCGTCGCGTCAAGTTGCTGTCGCGACGTGACGGCGCCGTCACGCTGCCGCGGCGTCTACGCGACAGCGCGCAGTCGGCGTACCAGCGACGTCGTGCTGCCGTCGCAGCGTCGACGCCCCGCTGCGGCATCGACGCCGCTCCATGACGGCGTCGTCGGGCTGCAGCCGGCCGCGTGACGCTTGTGGCGCCGCTAGACCGGCCGCCCGCATGTCAGCCTGTGGCGCCCCCCCCCCCCCCCCACCCCCCCTCCTTCCCCTGCGCCCTCTTCCATTCCGCAGACGACGGCTGACTCCCGCCGGCCGTCCCACAGTCGCGGGGCCAGGCCACGTCACCGAGAGGTGCGGGTGCCGCCGCCGCTGCCGCTGTTGTCGAAGCCGCCGCCGCCGCCGCTGTCGCCGCTTGCGTCGGGGCCACGCAGCCGCACGCCGCCGCCGCCGCCGCTGTCGACACTGCCGCCGCTGCCGCCGTCGCCGCCGCAGCCCCTGCGGTCGACGTCGCCGCCTCACGCGCCGTTGGGTCGACCGACCTAGAGTCGCTGTCACTGTGGCTGGAATGGGGGTGCTAGGTTAGGGGGTGTGGGTGTGTGTGGGTGTGTGACTACCAAGCCTAGGGGGTGTGTTAAAATTATTTAAGTTATAATTTATATAGGCTTGGTAGGTTGTTACTGAACCTTTTCTGTAGAGGGTACAAACCCCTCCTTGTACTCCTCTCTCTTCCTAATCCAACCCTCTTTTCCTCTCCTCAACTTTCCTAGCACCTAAAACCTCTCGCCATTCTCATGGCTCCTCCTAGCTCCTAGCTAAACCTTGTGCCATTCTATGGCTTCCTAGCTAAGCTAGTCTTTTGACAGAGCAGACCAACCACAATACAAGAAGGTGAGAAGTGCCGGACGGACCATCACAGCTGCGTAGAATACAGTACAGTACAGCCATCAGCTCCAGGTACATCATGGGTCAAATGGGATGGGATGGATGGGATGGGATGGGATGGGATGGGATGGGATGTGATGGGATGGGATGGAATGGGATGGAATGGGATGGGATGGGATGGGTCCATGTGAAGGGGACATGCCAACCCATGCCTCCCATCCTTCATGCGGACCAGCCAGCTCCCCAGGGCAAGCAGCTTCGTAACAACCCAGCTGGTTCCGACCCAACCCGGCCGCTTCCGATCCAGCCCGGCCACTTCCAACCCAACCCAGCGAGCGATGGCATTGCGGAAGGATTGTTGAGTCGACTGAAACGTCAGCTTTGGAACAACCCAGCTGCTTCCGAGCGACCTAGCAAGCGATGGCGGTGCAGAAGAATCGAAGAAGGTACGGTGCTACAGCCCGATCAACCACCTTCGAAGGCTGAGTCGACTAGAACACACCTGAGCAACCCAGCTGCTTCCTTCGTATAGACCCAGCCAGCTTAAGATGAGCAGCTGCCATCCCGCGAATCAGCTCCACAGGGACCAAGAAGCAACTGCACTCTGCGACGCCACCACGTGCCTCCCATCCTTGGTATAAAATAACGCACCCAGCTTGGAATGAACCCTGCTGCTGTCACTCCATCAGTCACCTTCACAGGGACCACAGAACCACTACAATCTGAGACGTACCCACGGCAACCAGCAACGCTTCCCATCCTCCATATAAGCTTATCAGCCTGAAATGAGCAGCCACCATCCCGCTAATCAGCCTCACAGCAACCTGGGACGCCACCACCATGTGCTACCCATCCACTCTTCATACAGACAGACCAACCTCTCCATACCCACCATCACCGCACTCTGCGATGCCACCACGTGCCATCCACTCTTCACACAGACCAACTAGCTTGAAAAAATCCCAGCAGCTTCCGACCCATGTATCCGATTCAGATCACCCTGTCAGCTGCAGACCACCCTGTCCGCTGCAGACCACCCTGTCAGCTTCAGAGGGACCAAGGAACCACAGCAATCTGCGACGCCACCACGTGCTTCCCATCCTTCCACGTCAGACTCCCAAACCTGAAGTTACTGTATGCGGTTACCACCGTGAACGTTACATTGAATGTCACCGATTCCCCAGGAGCAATCGTGAAGGTGGGCGGCGTAACCACTGTGGTAACCCCAGTTGGGGTAACTACAGTGGCGTTATAAGTAGCCACTACAGCTCCCACACTCGTCACCGTCCTCGTTATAGTCCGATTCCCTATAATCCGCCCCACGGAAATTGTCGGCCGGTTGAGGTTATAAGCAGGGGTGGGGGTCAGAACGGTGCCTTCAGCAACCAATCCCTGCGCGACGGTCAGGTTCTGCCCAGCCAAAAAACTGTAGAAATCCTGCCCGGTCAAGTTGTACGTCAGGCCGGGATCCAAAACTTTGCTTGCGTCCACGTGTCCCGCTCCCATTTGCCACGGCGTCGCTCCAGAATTGTTGTAATTCTTGATTCCTGCATTCTTGTTATTCTTCACTGTAGCAGTTGTCATTATCGCCGACATCACCTGCGACGGCGTCCAATCGGTCCTATTCTGCATTATAAGCGCCGCAATTCCCGCAATTTGAGGTGTAGCCATGGAGGTACCGCTCAGTAACGCCTTAGTAGCTGCTGACATGGCAGCACCGGGGGTGGTCCCCAAAGCCGCGCCCCAGAGGTAATACCCCGGAGCGATAATGTCGGGTTTGAGGATGTCGTTGGTTGGGAAGGAGGGAGCAGGGATGATGGTGGGGAGAGTCAAGGGGCCGATGGAAGAGAAGGAAGCCATTGCTGGTGCGGTGCCGGTGGTGCTGGTGGTGAAGCCATAGGACATGGTGCCAGTGGGGCTGGGAGGTACAAAGGGGCACGTATGGGGGCAGGAGGGGCACGTATAGGGAGAGGAAAGGGAGATTGGAAGGAGGGGAGAGGGGGTGTTAGTGATGGGGCCTATGGAAGAAAAAGGCAAGTATGCCATTGCTGGTGCAGCGCCAGTGGTGCTGCTGGTGGTGAAGCTGTAGGGCATGGTGTCAGTGGGGCTGTGACGAACAGGATGGAAGAGGGGGCTAGGGAATTGACACAAGGGAAAGAGATTGAGTGCATGCAGGGGCGGCAGCAGAGGCGGCGGCAGTGGCGGCGGCGGCGGCGGTGGTGGTGCGGCGGCGGCAGCGGCAGACGTGGTGGTGAAACCGCCACCAGTGAAACCAGAGGACATGATGCCAGTGGGGTTGGGAGCAGGTTACCTTGCAGAAAGCAGGTAGTCCTGAAGGATCACGTCGTTGGGAGGGAAGAGGCTCATGGCAGGGAGTGTGCCGTATCGAGTCACTGTAGCGTCGTCTGCTGGCATAACATTCACTATAAGCACAGCCAGACCCTTGCCCCGTTGGACCTCTGCTGCTTTCTCGCGTTCGCTCACTCCCCCTCCGTACAAGCACACCACCATGCGCCACGCCACCCATGTCGTGTTGAGCGATCCGTACTTGCAGTACTTGGCCTGGCGGTAGAGAGCGAGGGAAAGGGCAAGGTTGAGCTAGGGGCAAGTGGGGAGACGGATGTCACTCACACCCCCTCCTTACAAGCACACCACCATGCGCCATGCCACCCACAATGCGTTGAGCGAGCTGCACATGCGGTGTTTGGTGTGGGAGGAAACGGAAGAGAAGGGAAAGAAACAGGAGCCAACGTTGCTGGTCAACCAGAGCAGTGGGTGAAATCTGTCCCCTTCGGACACCAGTGCACCACCACCCACCAGCATGCGTCATGCCACCCACGGCGCTTTTGAAAAGCTGCACTTGCAGTATTTGGCCTGGGTGGGGAAGAAAGCACTTACTGTAGATGCCTATTTGAGGCGCCTCAAAAATAGTTTGCACTTACAGTGGATGCGTTGTATCCTGCAGCGGGGATCTTGGCAGCGTCAATAAGAGGGGTGTTGGCGCCCATGTTGGCCCCTCCAAAGCCGTTTCCATAGAGCACGGTGCCGTTGCCGAGGGTGAGAGACGCGTTGTAGCGACGACTGGTAGAGCTGCACTCACGCATGGGGCGAAACAGTCACAAAGGGAAGGGGTGGGGTGGGGGAGATTGTTTAGAACTGGAAAAAAACGCCTATGGCATCAAGGGTGAGCGGTGCGTTGCAGCGACGGCTGTTAGAGCTGCGAGCATGTGAGATGGGGGGGTGGGGAGAGACCAAAACCCTGTTGAGGGTGAGAGATGCGCTGCAGCGATGGCTGATAGAGCTGCGAGCATGTGAGATGGGGGGGGTGGGGAGGGGGGGGAGAGACCAAAACCATTGCTGAGGGTGAGAGGTGCATTGCAGCAACGACTGGTGGAAGGAACTACACATATGCATGAGAGGGTGAAACAGTCACAAAAAGAAGGGGTGGGTTGGGGTGGGGTGGGGTGGGGGAGACTGGAGTAAGTCTGTGTTGGCCTTTCTGAAAGTTCACCTGAAAGAAGCCAAAATTATACGAGAAAACACCTGAATCACCTGGGATTGCACCTGAGGACTCACCTGGCGCCAACAGTGAGGAAGAAGGGCGAGAAGTTGGCGATAGTGCGGTAGAGAGAGGCGGAGTACGGTGGAGGACCGTAGTTGCAAGCTGCCTTCACCACTACCACTCCCGCCTGGCATGTGGAAATGGATGAGGGAGAGGGGGAGGAGGGTGAGGGGGAGAGGAGGGTGAGGGGGAGAGGAGGGTGAAGGGGGGAGGAGGATGAGTGGGAGAGGAGGATGAGGGGGGGAGGAGGGTGAGGGGGGGAGGAGGGTGAGGGGGGGAGGAGGGTGAGGGGGGGAGGAGGATGAGTATTGTGAGTAATTGATTGCTGTGAGTCTAACCAACCAGACAATCAGAGGGTCGACAGAAGCGAGAAAGGTGTCTGAAAAACGACACCACATTGATCGACCCCGTCAGCTACAGCCGTGGCGACACCACATTGATCGACACCGTCTGCTACAGCCGTGGCGACACCAGCGGAGACATGTGCGTCTGCGATGACCCAAACTGCAGTGCGTGAGAGGGCTTACCTTACCAGGTGGGTGGCCAGGTATGCCAGGTCTCCAAAGCATGGGTCTGTGGGGTGCATGCGTCCCAGCGACAGCAGCAGCAGCAACGACAGAGAACCCGAGAGAAGACTTACGAGGTGGGCGTCCAAGTAAGCTAGGTCATGGAACGACGCTACAGAGGGGTGCACGCTACAGAGGGGTGCACGCTACAGAGGGGTGCACGCCCAGTTGTATTTTGAGTTGACTCAAAAGACGCTACAGAGGGGTGCACGCCCAGTTGTATTTTGAGTCGACTCAAAAGACGCTACAGAGGGGTGCACGCCTCCCAGCGACAGCAGCAACAGCGCCATAGAACAAAGACGTACCAGGTGGGCGTCCAGGTATGCCCGGCAACCGAAGTATGAGTCTGTGGAGTCCATGCCTCCCAGCGACAGCCGCAACGGCGACAGCACAGCACGTACCAAGTGCGAGCAGGAGTGCAAGCACGTACCAGGTGGGCGTCCAGGTATTCGAGGTCTCCAAAGTACGTGTCTGTGGAAACCATGCCTCCCAGCGACAGCGACAGCACGTCCACCCCGTCCGCTACAGCCGTGTCCACCGCAGCCATGACGTCAGCATCGAGGATGACCTGATCGCCGTAGTAGGCGCTGTACCACGCGACCCTGTACATCGCGAGGAAGGCTCGTGGGGCCACGCCGTAGGCTGTACCGAGCGAGGCGTTGTTGAGGGTGCCGAAGGACACACCGCCGTTACCTGCTGCGGCTCTGTTTGGAGGGTGGGGAAGTGGAGGGAATGGGAGGGTGAGAAACAGGCGGTGCTGTACCACGCGACCCTGTACATCGCGAGGAAGGCGCGCGGGGCCACGCCGTACGCTGTACCGAGGGAGGCGTTATTGAGGGTGCCAAAGGAAACATTCCCGTTGCCCGCTGCGGCTCTGCATTGCAGCGTGGGGAAGGGGGGGGTGAGAAGCAGTAGGTGCTGTACCGGTACCGCGCCACCTTGCACCTTGCGAGGAAGGCCCGCAGACGACGCCGTAGGCTGTACCCAGAGAAATCGAGTCGAGGGTGCCAAACGAAACACCCCCGTTACCGGCTGCGGCTCTGCAGGTTCGGAGGGGTAGGGGGAGGGGGAGGGGGAGGGGGGGGGGAGAGGGGGGGTTGCAGGAGGGGGGATGGGGGGAGCACAGGCGTGAGGATGCAGGGTGTTGTTCAGGGCGACCTTGTACGTTACGAGGAAGGCCCGCAGGACCACGCCGCAGAATCAGGCCGGCGGGGCCATGCCACCTTGTACATTACGGGGGGAGGGAGGGAGGGAGGGAGGGAGGGAGGGGGGAGGGAGGGGGGGAGGGAGGGGGAGGGAGGGGGGAGGGAGGGAGGGGAGTGGGGAAGGGGGGGAAGGGAGGGAGGAAGGGGGAAAGGGACCGCCATAGAGCACCCCGCTACAAAGCAACCGCCATAGAGCATCCCGCTATAGCTTATAACGAACAGCGCCTTACCCCGCACACCAGGTGCCATGGCCCGACGAGTCGCGAGGCGACAGCCAGTCTTTAGGGGCGTAGTACGTCAGCCCCGCTGCAAGGAACCCCGCTATGAAGTACTGCGCGCCAATGAGCTTCCGCGTGCACTTGGGGAAGTCCGTGGTGGTCTGGCACTTGCCCGTCCACGTGGCAGGGGGGTCCGGATACGGGTTGGTTGCCTGGGGGGAGGTGAGTAAAGAGGGAAAGGGGAGAAGGGAGGGGAGAGAAGGGAGGGGAGAAGGGAGGGGAGAAGGGAGGGGAGAGAAGGAAGGGTGGGGGAAAGAGTGAGGAAGGGGGAAGGAGCTCGGGGGGAGGGGCAAGTGGGCCGGGCGATTGGGGACCAAAAGCTTCAAGTGAAAGTTTCACTGAACGGAGCAAGTTGTCCACTCTTGGCGACGGGCCATGCTACATTCGGCAAGTTTTCCACTCTTGGCTATCTATATTCGCACCTGGTCTTGGAACGACGGGTGCTCGGGCCAAATGCCGGTATCCACGATTCCGATCACCGTCCCCGCGCCAGCCGCGGTCCACGCGGCGGCTTGATTCGCCTTCCAGAGCGAGTTGGGCAGATTGAGGAAGGTGGGCGTGTGCGTCATTTCGACCTTCCGAACTTCACTCTCCTGCACGTATGCTACTTCCGGGTCGGCTTCTAACGCGCGTTTCTGCTGCGCGGAGAGGCGAGCCGCGAGCCCGTTGGACGAGTAGACGTAGTTATAGAGCACGTCCGAGTCGGGAACCCCCGCGCCGCTCGCGACTCGAGCGTGCTGCGCTTTAACGCGCCGAACGTGGTCCTGCACACGTGGCGATTTCCTGTCGATCTTCTCCCGCCGCCGCGCATTCCGCCCGTTCGCGCCGCCGCCATTCCCGCCGCCGTTCCCGCCGCCATTTCCGCCATTGTTTCCGGCGGCAATCTCGGCGGCGACGGAATTTCCTTTAAGGCGGACGATATAAACGGGGTTGCCGGGCGTGTCAGCGGCGAGGGCGCGACGAGCCGCCGCCGCCGCCGCCGCCGCCGCGGCGCCCGACTGAGAGAGCGTCGCAGGACGCGCCGAGACGGCGGGGCGGATTCCGTGCGAGAGGACGAGCGAGAGGAGGAGGAGGGGGAGGAATGGGAGGAGGAGTAGCGCGTGCGGCGCGGCGTGGCGAGTTCTCGTTAGTGACGTCACTCCTTTATCGCCGGCCGCGTCACGCCGATGCCGCCTCGTGCGCCTGAGGCTGTTAGTGGAAGCCATTGGGTCTCGTCCCAAAGGGATATCACTTCCAAAGGCGTCGGAGAGACAGGAACGCGGCTGCGAGGATGCCGTACTACGGCCCGTACCGTGGTGGACTTAGTAGTACTACTACTACTAAGGGGGCTGCCAGGAGGCGGACTGTAGTAGGCCTAACGGGAATGCTGCGAGAATGGCCGCGAAAACTTGAAGTTTATCTGCGGGATTCTGCGGGCTACTGGAAGGCTGTCGAACGCTGTATGACACACAGCAGCGGCCTCAATGCTCGCGGTGTGGCTGGGAATCTGGACCAGCGGTTTCCAAACCAACATCATCGGGAAAAAAATTATGGACCCAATTTCGGGATGATCCATGTCTCGAGTTCCAAGGTCCCAGCTCAACCACAAGCTGCGGGCGATAAATTCACTAGTGGTCGTCGCACGTCGCGCGTCGTGCGTCGCTTCACTGCCTAATCTGGACCCGTGTCTGGCCAGGTGAATGGAAGGCCGGCACGATGCGCGCTTATGCGACTGTCAGGGCGGTACAGAATGCTTTCGTGTGGGGCTTTCCCTTCGCAGGGTTTATGAGAATCTTGAGGGAGATTACGCCTAAGTGGTAATGGTGGTGAAGGACCACATCTGGAAGGGTGGTGGCTGACAGCGAAGGTGCGCGAAGGCTGGTTACCACACTCTCAGGTCCCCAGCCCAGACTCGACCACGGATCTTTTTCCTCCTCTGTGTCCAGTACCGTACTGTACTGTACTGCACCCTCTGTTGCTTTCATAGGTCCAGCGAGCCGGCAGGGGTTAATTATGATCAGGTCCCCGCCAGGTCATTGCTACAGTTCACATAACGACAAGGTACAGTGAACAGAGAAAATGGCGGACGGCAGGTGTACCACTGTACTCAGGTGCGTGCAGGTTACAGAGGGGAGCCGGCTGGAAATTCACCTGATCGTTTGAGTTTTCACCTGCGTTCGAATGTGGGACGCTGCACCAAATTTAGCGAACAAACCCCTGCCAATGGCGCAGACCCCTGTTACCAGAGACGCTACATGACCTGGAGGCGAGACGCGATATTTCTTATGCGAAGAAGCGACATCCCGCATTTCTCCGCTCATGCGCACTGTTACAAGATTGTGCATTATTCCAGCCCGTTGGATCATAACGCACCTTTCATCTACAACTCTGGAACTTAAGGTAAGTGCTATGTATTGGCTTATGATGGTCACTGCATGGAATGGGCAGTGGAGGCCCACACTACATCTGAACTTGGTTTGACCAGGCCGACAATATGCAACCAATCCCACCAACAACACTGCTCTGCGGTAACTCACATTCAGCTTTAACTGGTGTACAGACACACACACGGAGCACAGCCAAAGATGCTGGTACGGCAGGCAGAGCCAGAGCGTTGAGCCGACAAAACCATCAGTCACAGCAAAACAGAGCAGAGCAGCAGCAGGCAGCTCAAATTCCCTACTTCGCTACAACTGGCAAACCCACGCCCTGCCAGCGTTGCTGCTACATCAGTACTTGGTGGTTACCATGTGCCACGGGTGCTGCATGGCATGTCCCTAATTCAAATGTCCTGCACGTGCAGACCTGCAGGGGTAGGGCGCAGGTAGGGAGGAGGCAGGGAGGAAGTATGGAAAAGGGAAGGATAAGGAGATAGGAGTGGTTAAGCTCTGTACATTGCTCCTAAGTATACTCCCTCTCCCCGCTCCCTTGAATGACCACCGCCAGCCAAATACTCCTTAGCGCATATTCACACTGGAACCTCAAAGCCCCGGTCGTTAAACAGATTCTTACTGGAAGTTTCCGGTCACTAAGAGAGTCCTTTCACTTCACCCAGTTGCTAAGACCCAAGACCATATTCCCAAGGGCGCCTGCCTGGCCAGGCCAGCCAGGAAACCCTAGTGACTGATGCTGATACTGCTGATGCCTACTCGAACATGCGCTCCGCAAATGATCCGCATCTACATGTCCTGTGCTGAAACACTTGGCACTCTAAACTTCGTAACTTTGGCATCTAAAATCCCTTCAACTCTAAACTTGAGGGGAGTTGAAGTCCCTTCAACTTCCCTCACCCTCCTGTGCTGCTGGGTACACTACAGACGCTCCGAGCCCCAAATGCTCAGCATTGAGTTGAGATTTGCCCACATGACGAATTCTCAAGAGTGCCTGCGGCTAAACGCCTGGCTCAAGAGCGCACGGCTCTCGGAAAGTTCCTGCTTCGAGCCGTCCCGGCATTAAGACGTGCTGCTCTGCAAACTCCCCAGCAATTTCATCTCCTGTACTCGAATGTCATCTACTGTACTCGAATGTCATCTCCTGTACCCGAATGTCATCTCCTGTACCCGAATGTCATCTCCTGTACCCTAGCTTCGACTCGAATCTCCTGCTCGCCGACTGCAATTCTGCTCGAATCCACTCGTCCCGTACTGAAGCAACCCGCACTCAAGATCCCCTGCCCGCACTCAAAATCCCCTGCCCGTGCTAAAAATCCCCTGCCCGTGCTAAAAATCCCCTGCCTGCACTCAAGTGATGCACGTGGTGATGCCTGAGATGAGTTGAGAGGGGGATGAATGGGGCGCTCGTGGGGTGAAGCCTTCGACGGAGCATGCAGGGGGGAATGCGCGGGGAGCACTGGGAGCACGCATGGGGGATTCCCGCTACTAAAATAGCTTAGATGATAACTACACTCAGAATATAGGTAGCTCAATTATCTGAAGGTGGCCCAGCTATTAGTAAAGTTGATATTTCATACCGCACCTTGAACTGTAACGAATAATCAATAACGCGTACACACGTACCAGGGGGCAGCGACTGCTTGAGCTTGTCGGCCTTGTCGCTGTCGGTGACGCAGAGCGTGTGGAGGTACTCGGAGCACCGATTTTAAACTAAAACAAAACGAACGAATCACCTGTAACGCGTACAAACGTACCAGGGGGCAGCGACTGCTTGAGCTTGTCGGCCTTGTCGCTGTCGGTGACGCAGAGCGTGTAGAGGTACTTGGAGCACCGCACCTTGAACTTCACCACATCTCCGGTCTTCTTGATCTTCACGGCTGCACGGGGAGAGGGAGAAGGAGAGAGATGGTATAAGGAATAACGTGGGAGTGGAGCGATTAGAGGTACTTGGAGAACCGCACCTTGAACTTCACCACATCGCCGGTCTTCTTGATCTTCACGGCTGCAGGGGGAGAGGGGGGAGGGGGAGAGGGAGAGGGGGGGGGAGGAGGGGGCAGAGGGAGACGGGAAGGTAGGGGGGATCAAATTCAGATGGGGCGATATTTGAGGTGCCTGGAGCTCCGCACCTTTAACCTCACCACATCTCCGGTCTACTTGATCTTCACGGCTGCACGGGGAGAGGGGGAGAGAGGAGAAGTTCGAATCCCTTCTCCTCAAGGTGCATGGGCGCGGTAGGCGGATTTGGAGAAGTTCAAGGTGCCGTGCTTCAAGACCACCAACTCCTCCCATTGGCGGAAAGGGGGGCTAAAGAGAGACGACGAAAACACGTGAGGAGGGGGGAGTGGGAGACGGAACGAGGGGAGTGGGAGACGGAACGAGGGGAGTGGGAGACGGAACGAGGAGTCGACGCAGACAATCGGCCCATACGAGGATTACGAGGATCGGTGGGGGGAGAAGAACTCAAGTCACGGACAACAGGGGCCAGGGCCCGTGTTGTCCGAGGGGCACATCTGAATCTTCCCGAAAAAGCAGGAACGGGAGATGAGCGACGAAGGGAAAGGGGAAGAGGGGAGGGGGATAGGGGGATAGGGAGCGGGTGGGGGATGCGAATTGGTGCAAGTGACGCAAGGACAGTGCATAGTCGACCGGCGACTTACAGCGGGCATCCTTGCGCCGCGCGGTGAGCAGGAAGTCCTTGATCTCGTGAATTTGCTTCGGCTGGCGACGCGAGTGGCACGCGGTGGGGGGGGGGGGGGGATTGGGGAGAAGAAGGGCGGAATGGGAGGCAGGGAGGAGGAAGTCCGTGGTCTCGTGGATTTGATTCGGCCAGGGAAAGGTTAAGGTGATTTATGAGGCGCCTCAAAAATCGTGGATTTGGGTCGGCCCGGGAAAGGCAAAGGTGACGCGAGTGAATGTGTGAGCGGGGAAGGCCCGTGCTTTCAGAAACACGACCGGAAAGTCTCTGCCAATCCTACTTGGTGTGGAAAATACTCTTCTGGTTTTAACCGTCAACGGGTACCATCCAATATGGTAGCCTACGCTATAAGGTAGCGCGAAGCCAGTCGACGCCCTGCATGTGCGAGTTACGCGCAAGACTATACGGCTACGAGGGAAAAGCGGAAAGGTCGGCTACATGCGCCTTGCGCCCCACCAAATGCGAACGAAACTGTGCGACGTGGGGCAAACCCTAATCTGCTCCTCGACCCATCATACGACGCCACGACGCTACGACGCCACGCCGTGACGCCACGAGCAGGAAACGGTCAAAACTTTGAGCTAGCGCGAGAGAAACATCCGGCAGGCGACAGAAACAAGCGACAGCACCCTGTTTTCAAAGTCGCACGGTCAGACGTCGCTCATCGTCAATCTGGTACCATGCGACACGAGACGGCGAATCGCAGCCCATCCGACAACGGAAACAGATAAAGGCATAAGGGCACGCACCATGGTGACGACGTGGGTTGGCCTAAAGACCGAAGACGGAAAGAACCCTAGGTGCGATTAGGGCCAGCTAAGACGTTAGGAGGGAGAGGGAGGAATCTAGGCTCAGGAGCTAAGGAAAAAGGCAGCCAGGGGGGGGGGGAGGAGGGAGAGCCGAGGAGGGTGCGGGCGAGTGCGGATGTGGGGGAGCAGAGGGGAGCAGAAGGGGAAAGGGTTTTGCGCGGGTTTCGTGGGGGAGGAGGGGACAAGCAGGTTGCGGCAGCAAAACTTCGGCGTTATGAAGATTTCTGGGCTTTGCGTTCCGTCGTCGTGATTTCAATCTCCCGTCAGGGTTGAGCGGATATGGCACAGGTTTTATAACGGCTGAACAAGAGAAGGATTAAGAGTATGTGAGGCATTCTTTTAGCGCGAATATGTGACGGAAGCGACAACCAAGCTTTGTGGGGAAGGGAATCTTGGAGGAGGAGTCGCAGCACTCAGAAGAGGCACACGGGGTTCGCCACCATCCATCCATGAAAAGTCACGAATTCTGGCAATTCGGATGGTGGGTGCTCGCTGAAAATAGCAGAAGCTTTTATTAAACTCTAACCCCACGCTTTGCACTGTACTTCTGATTTTCTAAGTTTCAACTGTTTGACGGTAGAACGCCTACGTCGAAAGACTCGGAAAGTTGTCGATAAACCAGGGAAACCAGGAAATACAAAACAAAATCTTCGGAGACATGGTGCAGCTTCTCTGCGGGAAGGCCCTTCTGATTGGTTCACCGCCCGCATGCTTTCTTGCCCGTGAAGCTGCTGCTGCTTCTGATTGTTCGCCAAACCAACCACGTGGCTAGCTGGCTACTGCCGGTTTTTCTGGTTCCTTTTGAAACCTCTTGTTTGCTCCGGCCGAGCCTCCATCTAGATTTGACCGTCTCGTCACGTGGATACAGTCACCCCCCGCCTCAGCAACAGCTTAGGGGTATAGGTTATCAGGTTTGGTTCTGAGACGAACCTAGCCCACAAACTGGGCCTTTGGCTTGGTTTGATAGGCCGACCTTGGCGCATGCTATCCGCATGACAGGTTGGCGTGGCACACACCTGCTTGCTCTGTGCTGGGTGAGGGTGAGGGGCGATTGGTGGGGGGGGGGGTGGTGTTGGGGGACCAGTTATCGGGTTTGGGGTGAGACTGGGGGCGGAGGGAAGGTGAACTGAGGAAAGTGGGTTTGCTGCAGAGCAGACGAGCAGAGCAGTGTGTGGGGCAGGCGCATCAGTCGAGGCATGGTTATCGCGAATGGTGAGTCAACAGGGGGAGGCGTGCGTTTGCGTGCGCGAAGCGAACCCCAATGACTGACTGGCATCGCGGGTGGAGTTCTCCATGCCGTTTCCCCAACCGAACCAGGCCAGACGCAGGTTTGCCAACGAGCCAGGCCTAACCCCAGCCTTGGGGTTGTCTTTGCCAGGCGTTTCTTCCCCACAAGCTCCCCTTCCGGGCCGGACCTCACATCACGTCGGTTTGCCACTGCAGAACGCGGCAGAAGGGCGGGCCCAGTACATTACAGTAGGGCAGGCACATCACATCGGCCTGCGCGTACCCTGTACTGTACACCAGGCCCAGGCGCAGCGGTGTAACCGAACCATACCCAAACCAGACCCCAACCACCACTCCGCCCCCCTTTCCCCTTTTCATCATCTGTCTTACCTCCCCCGTCCACTGGGAAGGGAAGGGAGACCTGCCTCACCCTCCCTCACCTTCCCCTTCCGTTTCACCCCCCTTCCTCCCCGAACGCACGAGACACGCCTTCAGGGCGGATCACATTAGGCCCGATCCGTGTCCAATATCAATTTAAGGTTGCATTTATAGTCGAAACTCGCGACACTGACACTGACATTGCGAATCTTACCCAAAGGCAAATTAAAGCCGTTGACCTAAAACGTGCAAGATTAATAAACATGATAGGGGCAAAAAGTTGGACACGGCAGCGTGCAGGGGCGTAGGGCAGTGGTGCGAGGTGGCGAGTGGTTTTCGCCAACGAGCGAGCGTCGCAACACCATGCGCGACAAAAACACTCTTGACGAAACCTCATGAACCAATTAGGGCGCAAACAAACCGAGCACGCAAAACACCGCCAATATAAAAGGACAAAAGGGGAGGGTGGGACGGAAAAGGGAAAGGAGGGGCACGCTAGGCGCGGGAAGTTGGTTGGGGGGGTGGGGAGGGGGGGAGGGAGAAGAAGGGAGAGAGTGGGAGTGTGGGAGGAGTGATGAACAGCGAACAATAGGAGGGCACACGTAAGGACGTGATGCTTTTGGCGAGATTTGGGCTGTGCAACTTGACCCTGCTGCGCAGCTCGTGTGGGTAACTTGACTTGGCAATTTTCGCCAAACAACTTTGGGGTGGGGTGGCGTACGCATATAAACTGTTGTAAAGAACATTGGTATTTTCACGCCGCTCGCACGAAAAATGCAAATCGAAACGCGAAACTAGATTTGGTGCGGGGGATCTAGTAACAAACAATTCGCTATCATTTCAGGCACTTCGCAAACTGTGATTCCTGCGCTGCGCAACTTGACCCAGTTTTTGCAGGAAGTACCACGCCCTTAGGCGTGGTGGCGCTGGGCTGGGTTGCACTTCAAAAGTCCCAAAATGTATGAGCGCAAGTTTCAAGTTTCTTTCTGCTCAAACGCCTGGTGTATCGGGGGCAGGGGCGGAATTGGCTGGGGGCGGCGCACGCCTATCACATGTTTCCCGTCTTTTTGGTGTGCGATCTTAGTTTTCCCTCTCGTTTTGCGGAACTGGGTTCCCCGAAGGGCAGTTTCAAGATTAATAAACTTGAAACAAAATTTCTGCAATTTGGGTCAACGGCTTTAAGCCGAAGTTGAGCATACACTCCACCGCCCATGTGTCGCGAAAATCACCTGCGAAGTCAACCGAACGGAAAAATGGGTCGCCCATGTTTTCGGCGAAAGCAAGACAGTGCCATGACGAAAAAACCACACAGGCCACTACCCAAGCCAAAAGTCAACCACCCAACGGAATTATCGAGACGCTCAGCCACGTGTGGAATTCGCCTAGAGCGGAACTCATGCTACCGCCGCAAACCACGGCAACGTTGGCGACGTCGCAACTGGTTCTTGAAAGTTGCTGTGGTTTCCCGGTCGGACGTTTTGCCGAAATCAGCGAAAAGGAAATCTAGAGCCTTGTCCGAGCTGACGATTTTTTTTTTTGAAGTTTCGCGCAGGAGTGTAACGCGCTGGTGTTGTCCCGTTTTTGTGGAAAGCTCGAGCCGGTCTTATCTGGCTCAATTTCGCCGGACGAGCCCACACAATGAGCCTCCGGCGAATTGATGCCGAATGCTACACGGCCTTACCTCCTCCCCTCCCCCCCGCCTTCCCCCAGCCAGTTCCGCCTGCCCCACCAAGCCCGCCTGTTTCTTGATTGGAGATTCCAATTTGGAATGGGGAAACCCCAGCAGGGCAGTATCCATGGTCACATCATCCACTGAGCTTCACTGCACCGCAGTGTCTGCATACCATACCCCTTCCCCAGACAGCCCTTCACTCAAGCAGAATCACACAAACCTGTTTGGAGGTAGGAGTGGTGCTGCTGGGGTTCCTTCCCTGGTGACACCCTAGAACTTGGAGAGTTTGTCAACTACCATACTAGGAACCTGTAATTAGATATATTTCTCAGTGACTCCCCCGATTGCGCTCTCAAACCGGCTCTCCGATCAGAATCTCCTGAGACGTTTCGTCTGACATAGTAACTTCGGTTGTAGCCTTTTTTTTTCCCGTCGTGGTCGGTAGAACGGTATTTCAGTGGTTGAAGCAATCCTTCTCAACCTTCTTGGCCTTCCATGGCGGCGCCATTCTTCCAACAGATCCGCGTAGATTCCGGCGATTATCAACCCGGCGTTGCGGAAAATCACCGCATGATGCTGAGTCAGCAGCCGTATCCTCCGCATCAGCTGCATCCTCCGCCTTTCCAGGCGCTGGCGCCGCATCATCCGCTGATGTCAGAAAACACGGTTCCTTCGCAAGCCGGCCCGCAGAACACGACGCAAGTAATGATGAATCTAAACCAGTCGATTGCCAATCTCACGTCAGGAGGATGCGGTTTCGTGCCTGGTGTCCCGTCTGGTGCTGCTCCTGGTGCTGCTCCTGGTGATCTCGGCTTATCTTCCTCCCCAGGAGCCCTGATGAACGCCCTCAATCTGCTTCAGCAAGTACGTGTATGCCGTCCTTTTTCGGTTTTTTTTTTCCTCTCCCAAGATTGTCTCGTCAAATTAAGTCTGCTGCTCGGAGTGCGATCTTTTCCGGTTTGCGGAATAGTGTTTCCAGTATTCCTTCTCGGTGCTGACGGACCCCGTGTATTAACTCCTGTCCGTTATTTTTCTGCTCTTTTCTTTTCGTTCCATTCGTTTCTTTCTTTCGTTCTTTCCTCGCAGAACATCGGCGCGCTTCAGTCGCTCATCCCGCTGATGGCGCAGCAGCAGCAGCAGCAGCCCGTGGACAGCGCTCACGCCGCGCACCTCAAGCAGCAGCAAGCAGCCGCGTCGGCCGGCGTCGCGTCCGTCATCTCCCAGCTCGCCCTCGCCGCAGCCAACATCCTTCCCCAGATGGGCCTCTCCCCCCCCGCTAATGTCACACCCTCGACCGCTCCGCCATCCGCTATTATCCCATCCGTTGGTGTCGCATCCGGTTACCTTCAGGCCGGGTTCTCCCAGCCCGAAAATCTCCAATCCGCCGTCGCGATACGTCAGCAGCCATGGCAGCAACAACAACAGTTAATCCCCGAGCAGCAGCAGCAGCAGCTCACGCAGGGAACTGCAGTCGGATTCGGCTCCCATGCTTTTGGCTTTCAAATGTTGGAATGTGAGAAGGCTCAGAACCCTGAAGACAGTGCAGGCGCTCAGCTGCACCTGGGGCTTGCTTCCGTGACTCCTGCTGCGCCCGAGTCGCTCAAGATGCAGCAAGAACAGCAGCATCACTTTCAGCCGCAGCCGCAGCAGCAGCAGCAGCAGCAGCCGAAGCAGTCGAGCCCCGTCTTTGCGCCATCGCCCACCGTTTCTCCCGGCGGCGACACGGCAGCCCTACCAGTAGCAAAGTCGCAGCTGCCGCTGAAGCGGAAGAACCCCGACCCCGTGACGTCGCAAGCTGCTTTCGACGCGCCCCTAAACGGCACGCCGGTGACCACCCCAGCTGCCGATGACGACGACGACGACGGCGAGCCGTTCGCTGGTGAGTCTGGTGCTCGCTGTGGTGCTCGATGCGTTGGCTGTTTTTGAAGCGCCTCAAATAGAAGCGAGCCCGCGACGGCTGTTGTTTTCGACGCGCCTCTACTAGGTAAGCGGGGGGCGGCTCCGGCTGCCGACGGCGACGACGGCGACGGCGAGCCGTTCGCTGGTGAGTGTTGAGACATCTCATCTTAAAAGACGATCATTATCTATCTGGCTTCGAGGACGGCGACGACGGCGACGGCGAGCCGTTCGCTGGTGGGTCTGGTGCTCGCTGCGTTGGCTGCTGTGTTGGCTCGTCTGGTTGGCTCGACGGCTGCTTGAGATTGTCCCGCTAATCCACGTGTCTCTCCTGTATTCGTGCCCCTTTCTTCTCTGTGCTGGGTGCGTTTCTGCAGAGGGCGAGTTCGACATCGTTCAGATGGACCCCGTGGAGCTGCTGGCGGAGCACACCCACTTCTGCGAGATTTGCGGCAAAGGTGCTGTGCTGTGCCGTGTGCTGTGCCGTGTGCTGTGCCGTGTGCTGTGCCGTGTGCTGTGCCGTGTGCTGTGCCGTGTGCTGTGCCGTGTGCTGTGCCGTGTGCTGTGCCGTGTGCCGTGCCGTGTGCCGTGCCGTGTGCCGTGCCGTGTGCCGTGCCGTGTGCCGTGCCGTGTGCCGTGCCGTGTGCCGTGCCGTGTGCCGTGCCGTGTGCTGTGCCGTGTGCTGTGCCGTGTGCTGTGCCGTGTGCTGTGCCGTGTGCTGTGCCGTGTGCCGTGCCGTGTGCTGTGCCGCGTGCTGTGCCGTGTGCCGTGCCGTGTGCTGTGCCGCGTGCTGTGCCGTGTGCTGTGCCGTGTGCCGTGCCGTGTGCTGTGCGGTTGATGCACACTCTGTCACACTCTGTCACATTCTGTCACATTCTGGCACGTTCTGTCACATTCCGTCACATTCTGGCACATGCATCTCCGTGATACCCTAAACCGTGATGCCACTGTTCGGTTCTGCTCGCCTCTGCAGGGTTCAAGCGCGACGCCAACCTCGCATGCACACTCTGTGCTCTGCATCTCCCTTGCACTGATTCTTCCCTTCCGATCACCGCTTCCTGATTTGCCATCCCTCGTGCCGTTCTGTTCCGCTCTGCAGGGTTCAAGCGTGATGCCAACCTCCGCATGCACATGAGGGGCCATGGCGACGAGTACAAGACGCCCGAAGCCCTCTCCCGCCCCGACAAGACCAACAGCCTCTCCCCAACCGGCGCCGAGAAAGCAGTAAAACCCGTCCGTTACAGCTGTCCGTTTGCTGGGTGCAAGCGCAACCGGCAGCACCGGCGGTTTCTCCCGCTGAAGACGATGCTGTGTGTGAAGAACCACTACCGGCGCACGCACTGCCCCAAGATGCTGGCGTGCTCCAAGTGCGGTGCAAAGCGGTTCTCGGTGGTGGCGGACCTGAAGACTCACGAGAAGCACTGCGGGCGCGACCGCTGGCTGTGCTCCTGCGGCACGTCCTTCAGCCGCAAGGACAAGCTCGCCGGCCACCTCGCGCTCTTCAAGGGCCACCGCCCCGCCAACCCCACCCTCACCGTCGTCGACGATGCTGCTGCTGGGGCGGGTGCTATTGCTGGGCCGTCTGGTGCGGCGCCGCCTGTTGCAGGATTCAAGAACCAGCCACAGCAGCAGGGGCAGCGGCGGCAGGCAGCGTTCTTGGCAGTGACTGCAGCCGCTGCTGGGAGGGCTGGGGTTGCCCCAGAAACGAGTGCCGCTGGCAGCAGCTGTGGGGAGGGAGGGGTTGCAGGGGGGCCGGGTGGGGTGCGGGGTGGAGGGCAGGACAGGGAGTGTGCGTTGTCGAGCTTCAACCTGAATGCCTGCACACAGCCGCATAAGGTATGAGGCTCGTCCTTGCCTTGGCCTACCTTGGCGTCGCGTTGCGATAGGTCTGATCTTGCCGTGTGCTCTCTAGCCAGGTGGGCGCCCTCCTTGTGTTGAGCAAGGGTGGTTGCTGCGGCAGTGGTGAATTTTAGGGACTGTTGCATCCTTTTTCGGCCTCTCCTCCCCCCTTCTCCCCTCTCCTCCCCCCTTCCCTCCCGTTTCCCCATCCCCCCCACCATTCTCTCTCGCTCTCTCGATCTCTTGCCATCAGGACCCAGAAGAGGAGAGAGGGAGGTAATGGTCTACAACAACCACCTGTCTGAGCACCAACCGGGGTAGCACTCCCTTGCAGACTTTGTCAGTCACTGCAGTCCGCCTGGGCTCAGCTGGCTTTTGAGTCGGCTAAAATACCCGTCTCACTCTCTCCTCGCCTCGCCTTCGCCCTCTCGTGCTTGCTCTCAGGGCCCAGAGGAGGAGAGGGAGGTGATGGTCTACAGCCACCCGTCGGAGCACCAACCGGGGCAGCGGTCTCTCGCGGACCTTGTCACTGCCGACCTGCTGGGCTCAGCTGAGAAGGCTGCCCGCCTGGTGCTGTGAGTGTGCCATGCCAGTGTGCAGGTGACTGTGACATGACAAGCCGTGCGCTCTTACCCTGCTGGGTTCAGCTGAGAAGGCAGCACGCCTCGCCTGGCGCTGTGAACCATCTTCGAGCGGGATTGCAAACCACAGTGCACATCACCGCTTGTCTGTGCTACTGCTCGCTTCCCGATCTGGTGTTTGATGGCTCGCTATGTAGATGGCTCGCACTGTAGATGGCTTGCACTGTAGATGGCTCGTGATCAGTGAATAAGGACCCATGTGTTGCTCGCTAACATCTCTGCCTTGTGTTGTGTGTCCTTACCGGCACTTGTTGTGCCGCTTATATATAGTTGCGTAGTGCCCATATAGGGCACAGTGTTGTGTTGCTCTTCTCTAAAGCTGCATTTTGCCTTGCAATGCAATCTTTACAGCAATGGTGCTTGCCTACCATAATACCATGCTAGGCAAACTGGTAGTGTACCCATGAAATATGCTCTATGTTGCTGGGCGGTGGGGCGTTCGAACAGGCACACTGTTCAGATGGTAGTTCAAACTGGGACTGGAGGCTAACCGTCTGGCTGTCTGGCTGTTACAAATGGATGTGTTGTGTTCTCACGGCTTCGCAGACTGCAAGCCGCAACCTTGAGGATTTTTAGGTAACAAGCAGCAACCACAACCACCAGTCATGAAAAAAGGTTGTAAGTTGTAACAACTAATAACAGAATCTGCTTGAAGCAGCTCAACAGCAGTCCGGCCCTCTATAGCCCACGGCCTGCTGTTGAGAGACCTCAAGAAAGATGTTAGCCAGGGAGAGACTACTATTGGCACTCAGGAAACCAGTCAGCAGGCAGAGAAGAAAGCAACAATCACAAGAAAAGGGGTATTTAGACACACAACCCGCAAACAGGGAGCACGGGAGCCAGAAAATAGTGGTTGGATGGGTTGAGAGGTGGCGGTGGTGCTAATGTTGCTGCTGCTGCTGCTGCTGCTGCTGCTGTTGGTGCTGGTGCTGCTGGTGATATAGAAAGCAGTTCTGAGACGCCTCACACAAAGGTGCTGCCATTTCGGCAGCACTTTTACGCACCTCACACAAGGCTGCTGCTAGTGACGCTGCTGCTGTGGAGGGAGGGCGGTCCCACATTGAGCGTTGAGGCGCCTCACACAAGGCTGCTGCTGGTGATGCTGCTGCCGTTGAAGGCAGACCTGAATCGAGTGTACGACCGCGAGCCTGCTGGTGCTGCTGAGCTGAAGACAGGCGGAAGAGGGTTCGGAGGAGCAAAAGCAGGAGCACCATTAAGTTCCCCATTCCTGCTTGCACTCAGCCCAGTAGCAGCAGGAAGCATCGCTCCTCCTTCCACCCCCCCTGGCTGATACGACACAGGCAATGCCGCATTACTGCTCCCATTCCCTCCTCCTATCCCGCTGCTCCCCACTCCCATCTCTCTGCCCATCCCCACTCCCACCCCCACACTCCCTGTCCCACTGCTACTACCATCCCCCACAATCATCACCCCATTGCTTCCCCCAAGTCCGCTGCTGCTACTCCCCTCCCCGCTGCTCGCAAACGTGATGTTCGAATGGGCCAACCCGGGCGGCGGGTGGCCTGCAGCGGCCTCGAGCTGGATGGCATGGGTGAGCTCGAAGCACACGTCCGAGATGCTCGGGCGGTTGAAACTTTTCGGCTCCACGCAGACCACGCCCACCTCTGCCACGCGCCACATGACCTCGATGTCGAATTCGGTCGGGGAGAGCGTTGGGTCGATGATGGCCTCGATGTGCCCCTGCTGCAGCCGGGACCGGACCTGCAAAGGGGGGGGGGGGGAGCCAGGAAGCAGGGAAGGAAGGGAAGACGAAGGGGGAGGGTGATGGGAGAGGGGCAATTGTAGTGCAGACCACACTAACCTCTGCTCCTGCTGAAGCCGGGACCGGACCTGCAAAGGGCGGGGGGGTTGGGGGGGGAGGGAAAAGAGGGTTAATAGTAGCACGCACACCAACCCCACCTCTGCCTCGCGCCGCATCACTTTGATGTGGAAGGGGACCAGGAGTCTCCCGGTGGACACGGGACCGGACCTGCAAGGGGAGGGGGGAAGGATGGCAAAGGAGTGGAGAAGGGAGGATGAAGGGAGGGAGAGGGTGAAGGCAGAGGGTCAGGGTAGAGCAGACCGCGCCTGCCTCTGCCACGCACCACATTAACTCGACGTCAAAATACCCCACAGGTTACCACTCAATGATGCCGTTTTTCCCCTCGGCCGGTTCAGGTCGATCGGCTGCTGCCTTGAAAGTATTTCCAGCAGCACCCAGCTAACCCCAGTCTACCCCACTCAACCGCAGTCAACCCCTTCTTTGGCCACCCAATCACCGCACTCACCCAGTCAATGATGCTCCAGTCGTCCCTCGGTCGGTTCAGGCCAATGCACTGACCCCCCACCCATACTTTCTAGCACGACGCAGTCAACTCCAGTCAACCACAGTCAACCACAGTCAACCGTTTCTCACCCAGTCAATGATGCTCCAATCGTCCCTCGGCCGGTTCAGGTCGATCGGCTGCCGCCCGGAAATCATTTCCAGCAGCACCACTCCGAAGCTGAACACATCACTCCTGTCCGTGAGCTGCTGCACCGTGTAGTACCTGGGGTAAGGGGGGTGACATGGGGGAGGGGGAGATGGTGTGGGGAATGTGGGATAAGGACACATTGGCCCCTGCTTGCGGACCATCACCCACTCATCATTCCTAGCAGCACCACTCCGAGGCTGGACATGTCACTCCTGTCCGTCAGCTGCTGCACCGTGTAGTACCTGGTGGTAGGACGAGACGGCAGGGGGGTGGGAGGGTGGGAGGGCAAGGGGGACGAAACATGGGCACGGGGGGTCAATGGGCTGGTTGCCTCCCCCCTCTCACCATATCCAGCAGCACGACCCCAAAGGTGATTTTTTAGTCGGCTCAAAAGTCACCTGGCTGCACCACCTATCATCATCCCGAGCAGCACCACCCCGAAGCTGATCACACCACTGCGGTCCGTTAGTTGCTGAACCATGTAGCACGGTGGGGGCGAGGGGGGGAAGGGAGGGGCGAGGGGGGGAAAAGGAAGGGACGAGGGGGGAAAGGAGGGGCGAGGGGGGGGAGGGAGGGAGGGGCGAGGGGGGGAAAGGGAGGGGCGAGGGGGATGAGAAGTTGAGGGAGCCTGGAGGTGTGAGGCTGTGGCCCACTCATCAACTCCGCAGCGCCACCCCGAAGCTGAACACATCGCTGCAGTCTGTTAGTTGCTGAACCATGTATGAGACGTGAGTGCAGCCTGCTGACGCGGCTGCCAAACGTCCAAGAAACCGTGGCTGGTGTGCAGATGTCCGTCCTTCAGTTGACTCAGAAACAAATGCGTGAGCAGCGTGCTGACACGCTAAACGTCCAAAAAAGCGTTGCTGGTGTGGTGGCCTTAGCATGTGCACATGACTTAAGACGTACTCGGTGGCAAGAATCAAGATACCCTCCAGTCCCCTTGACATCGGCCCAAAGTCAGCCACATGGGCGAGTAGGTCGGCGTCTATTTTTGAGGCGCCTCAAAAATAGACTCCTATGACTAGAGCCCTCCATGACAGCCCAAAGTCAGCCCCTTAGACTAGAGCCCTCCATGACAGCCCAAAGTCAGCCCCTTAGACTAGAGCCCTCCATGACAGCCCAAAGTCAGCCCCTTAGACTAGAGCCCTCCATGACAGCCCAAAGTCAGCCCTTTAGACTAGAGCCCTCCATGACAGCCCAAAGTCAGCCCCTTCGACTAGAGCCCTCCCATGACAGCCCAAAGTCAGCCCCTTAGACTAGAGCCCTCCCATGACAGCCCAAAGTCAGCCCCTTAGACTAGAGCCCTCCCATGACAGCCCAAAGTCAGCCCCTTAGACTAGAGCCCTCCATGACAGCCCAAAGTCAGCCACATGGGCGAGTAGGTTGGCGTCCAGGAGAATGTTGCTGGCCTTTACCTGTGCGTTGGCTAAGGGTCACTTCAGCACTCACTCAGGGTCCAGGTAGCCGGCTGTGCCCTTGACGTTGGTGGACACGTGCGTGCGGCTGATCGAGCCCTCTCGCGACAGCCCAAAGTCGGCCACATGGGCGTTGAGGTTTGCGTCCAGGAGGATGTTGCTGGTCTTGATGTCGCGATGGATGATGGGGGGGGTCATGCCCTTGTGCAAATACTCGATGCCTGGGGAGGGGAGGGAGGGGAGGGGAGGGGAGGGGAGGGGAGGGGAGGGGAGGGGAGGGAGGGGAGGGGAGGGGAGGGAGGGGAGGGAGGGGAGGGGAGGGGAGGGGAGGGGAGGGGAGGGGAGGGGAGGGGAGGGAGGGGAGGGGAGGGGAGGGGAGGGAGGGGAGGGGAGGGGAGGGGAGGGGAGGGGAGGGGAGGGGAGGGGAGGGACAGAAGGGAGCATGGTTCAGTGGCAGTGGGAGTGTCAGCCACTTGCATCGCGATGGATGGTGGGGGGGTTCATGCCCTTGTGCAAATATTCTATGCCTGCATGAAGTGAAGGCGGGGAGGATTGGGGATGAGGGGGGAAGAGACGGAAAATGAAAAGGAGGGAGAGAGGTATGCAGGATGGTGTGTAAGAGAATGTTGATGGTCTTGATGTCGCGATGGAAGATGGGGTCATGCCCTTGTGCAAATACTCGATGCCTGCCCATGGAAAACGGGAGGATAGGAGACGAGAGGGGGGGAGATGGATAAGGGAAAGACGAGAGAGAGGCATGCAGGTTGGCGTTTAGGAGGAGATGCTGCCTCCTCCTTCATGTATCATGCATCCAGAAGAATGGACTCACACTCTGAATCCAGTATCCTCGAGTCTCACCTTTAGCACCAAGGGCGATATGCAGCCGCTGCAGCCAGCGCAGGTGCCCCAGGGGGTTCCCAATCGAGTTGTAGAGATGATCCCTCATGGTGCCATGCGGCATGAACTGACACACTAGCACCTGCTGCTGTGCCATGTTTCACATGCTCATACAGAGACCCCTTGTACCTCTCACTCACCTCTAGCAGCACCAAGGGTGATATGCAGCCGCTGCAGCCAGCGCAGGCAGCATGCACTCACACGCCAACACCTGCTGCCCCGCCCTTCGCCACCCACCTGTCGCACATGGCGCATTCTCACCTCTAGCAGCACCAAGAGCGATGTGCAGCCGCTGCAGCCAGCGCAGGTGCCCAAGGGGGTTTCCAATCGAGTCGTAGAGGTGGTCCCTCACAGTGCCATGCGGCATGAACTGGTACACTAGCACCTGCTGCCCCGCCTCCCTGCAGAATCCAATCAGATCCACCAGATTCGGGTGCCGCGCGCGCGACAGCAGGTCCACCTCGTTATAAAACTCCTTCTCGCCTTGTAACGAGTCCTCGTCACGCTTCTTAGCCGCAACCATTCTCCCATCCGGTAATATCCCTTTGAACACCGGGCCGAAGCCCCCAGAGCCTATGATGTGCGAGGGGTGGAAGTTGGCGGTGGCGGTGGCTAGGTCGGAGAGAGAGAAGCGGCGGACGTGGGAGCCGGGGGACACGAAGAGAATCATCGAGTCCACACCCGGTGGACCAGCTGCCGCTGCTGCTGCTGCTGCTGCTGCTGCTACTGCTGGGGTTGATGTTGCTGCTGTTGCTGCTGCTGGGGTTGATGTTGCTGCTGTTGCTGCTGCTGCTGCTGCTGGTGCTTCTGCTGTTGCAGATGAAGATTGCACCTGAGCACTGAAGCCATCTGCCGTGCCATTCTGGGCCGCACCACTGCCACCTGCACTCGCTGCACCAGCAATCCCCGCCAAAGCAGCAGCAGCAGCAGCAGCAGCACCACCATCACCACCACCGCCACCAAGCGCGCCACTGTCACCAGCAGCGACAGGGCCAAAGGTGGATGCAGACGAGTTGGTGGTAGCAGCTGCGGATGCACCCATTCCAGACCCGAGGAGCAGCGAGGAATCTTCCCTGGCCCTGCCTCCCAGCAACGGGGTCGTTGAATCAGCTGCCGAAACAGCAGCAGGCACCTTCACGGCCCCATCCCCTTCCCCTCCTCGTGCTCCTACCCCTCCTCCTGCCCCTTCTACTGTTGCTGCTGCTGCTGCTACCGCTCCCCCTCCCCCATCTCCTCTCTTCTCCTCAGTCACGTGGACCACCACCTGTACAGGTTCCAAGAACGCCTCTTCTGGTCCCTTACCCTCGTAACCCCCTCCTTTCCCTTCCCCATCCCACCCACCCTGCCCTCCCTTCTCCTCCCCCTTCCCTCCCTTCTCATCCCCATTCATGCCCACCCCCGATGAGTACACATCTGCCGCCCGCCTCGCCCTCTGCAGCTTCTGCCAGCGCCACAGGACAAACGTCGCCGCCGCGACTATACAGATGCCCAATATAATGCCTAAAACGAGGAAAACCAGCGCCACAGCACTCATAGCAGGCGAGGAGTCAGCGGGTGGAGACGAGGACGAGGGGGCGGAGGGAGGGGAGGAGGAGGACAAGGACGTGACTGGGAGACCCAAGTCCGAGCAGGCGGGGAGGTTGAAGGCGCTTTCAGGGTGGCAGAGGTAGCTGTTGCCGTCGATGCTGCGAGGAGGGGATAGGGGCATAACAGAAGAGAGTGAATGGAGGAGGGTTGGAATCTGAGCAAGTTTAGCAGCTAGAGGTAGCTGTTTTGGGGATGGCAGATGTAGCTGCTGCCAGTCATGCTGTGAGTAACAGGAGGGATCAAGAACACACGTTATGTTGAAAGAAAATTGATCCTTATGAAAGAAAAAAAACGGAGATGTTCCGCAACAGATGGCTCCGTGCACCTCTGACTGTATTAGGGTCTGTTATGTAAAAGGCGGATCAAATGCAGAATCGTTTTGAGTGCTCAGTTAAGAGAAAATCTCACTTGATGTCTGTGCTGGCAGTCGGTGGGAAGGGGAAGGGCCCTGAGAGATTGTTGCTGCTGAGGTCACTGCAGGGAGGGAGAGAGGGAGAGGGAGAGAGCAATAGGGAGAGAGGGATAGAGAGAGAGGGTGAAAGGGTGAGAAGGGAAGCAGAAAGGGAGGAGTTAAGGGAGGAGTGGAGGCGAAGTCAGTTGGTCCTTTTGGAAGGGCAAGGGCCCAGAGGGATTGATGCTGCCAAGGTCTCCTTAGAGAGAGGATCCATGCAGAGGTGAAAATCTCGGGCGATATGCACTGCGGGAGAAGGTTTGTGTCACACGTGAGGAAGCAACAAGCGAGGCAGCTGTCACGAGGGTGTTGCAAACCACAAAATCAGAGGAGAAAGAGGCAAGGGAGAAGGTAAAGGAGCACGTGAGAACGCTAGTGCGGGCAGTTTTGACACAGGAGGAGGTGACCTTAACAACACTTTGCTGGCGTTTTTAATAAGGCTCTTGACCAGCTAAGTCTTATAAGGCTCACGTCCGCCTTTGTGAAAACTGTCCGCACCAGCTTCCTCATGTGCTCCGTACCTTCCTCCTCTCTTCTGTCCTCTGGCTCCTTAATGTACAAAACCCTCGTGATGGCCGTCCAGCCTGTCGCCTCCTCCCACGCCTCAAACCTTCGCACACGGTTCACATCACTCGGTTTTTTTACCTCCGCATAGATCCTCTCACGTCTTGACCCTTTGAAAAGTATCCTAGGGTATGAAGCCTCACCCTCCTCTCTCCACCCCTAAGGAGGAAAACTCACAGCTCCACCCTCCTTCAACTCACTCCCAACCCCCCCTCCTCTCCCCTCCTACCCTATCTCCACACACCTCATCCCCAATCTCCCTCATACATAGTACTCAATGTATGCCCCGGTCATCAGCTCCCCTCTCCCCACTCCCCTTCGCTCTCTTCCCCCCCCCTCTCTCCCGTTCCTTCTCCCCCCTCCCTCTCCCTCTCCCTCGAGCCCAACTTACAGGTGCAGGAATTCCGGAATCTGGGCGAGCTCAGTTTTGAAACGTCTCAAAACTTAACTACTTAACCTCTCCCTCTCCCTCTCCCTCGAGCCCAACTTACAGGTGCAGGAATTCCGGAAGTTGGGCGAGCTCCCCAGGCACACTGCCAGAAAGCTGGTTGTCCTGGAGCTTGCTACAGGAGACAACAAGGGGGTATTGTGATGGGGGGAGGTTGGGAAGAGTGGAGCAAGGAAGGAGACTTGAGAGAGGAGACTTGAGATGTGGAAAAGTACACCAAGAACGGGACCACTAGAGATGGGGAGGCGGGACGTACAGAGAGTGCAGCTGCTTGAGTGAGCCCAGCCAGGGCGGGATGTTGCCTGAGATGGAGTTGTCGTTGAGCGACCTGCCATCCATGGGATGCAACGAGGGGGGGGAGGGGAGGAGAAGAATTATTCCCCGGATAAGGACCCGCAAGATAAGGAACGAGGAGGCCTCTTGGGCAGAAGTGGAGATGGAATGCAAGGGAAAGGTGTTTTTGAAAAGTCTCAAAAACACCCTGCACAATTAGGGCAGAAATGGAGGTGGAAGGAAAGGGAAAGGTTCACAAGGCACAATATTCTTGGCGTTGAGTGGCTGGGTGCAGTGGTTGTGGTTGTGGTTGTGGTTGGGGTTGTGGTTGTGGTTACGGTTGTGGTTACGGTTGTGGTTACGGTTGTGGTTACGGTTGTGGTTACGGTTGTGGTAACGGTTGTGGTTACGGTTGTGGTTACGGTTGTGGTTACGGTTGTGGTTACGGTTGTGGTTACGGTTGTGGTTACGGTTGTGGTTACGGTTGTGGTTACGGTTGTGGTTACGGTTGTGGTTACGGTTGTGGTTACGGTTGTGGTTACGGTTGTGGTTACGGTTGTGGTTACGGTTGTGGTTACGGTTGTGGTTACGGTTGTGTTCATCAGAGACTGGGCTCACAGAGAGGAGAGGGAGGAGATGTTGCTGATGCACGCAGGGATGGAGCCCGACAGCCCAGCGTGCCCGAGGTCCCTGAGGGGAGCAGCGAAACACAGGGGGGGAACGGGGCAGGGGGGAGAAGGATAGCAGGGGTGAGAGGCAGCAGCAGGAGCCGCCACTGGTTGCCACTGCATGCAGGGATGGAGCTGGAGAGGCCAGTATGCCGAGGTCCCTGAGGGGAAAGGAGCAGAGCAGGGGAAGGAAGGAGGTGAAGCAGCGGGGATTAGAAACACACTTCTAGAGTCGAGCCAGCACTTTCAGCAGCACTCACAGCAGCACTCACAGCAGCACTCACAGCAGCACTCACAGCAGCACTCACTCACAGCAGCACTCACAGCAGCACTCACAGCAGCACTCTCAGCAGCACTCTCGAGTCTCAGGTCACCAGCACTCACGGTCCACTGAGTGGCGTGGTACTAGCATTGAGGCTGCACTGCACTGCACTGCACTGCACGCCCGGCCATGTGACAGGGTAGCAGGGTCCCCCACCCACTCCTCCAAGGCTGCTGGCTCTCCAAACTGGGTCACCAGCACTCAGCCAAACAGACAGCAACACACCCAGCCACACTCACAGTCCAATAACAGCCGTGCTGTTGGCCTTGAAGCTGCACTGCACGCCCGGCCACGTCACAGGGTAGCAGGGGTCTCCCAGCCACTCCTCCGTAACAGCCGGCTCCCCTAACTGCGTCTTCACACACGCCAGCGCTGCCACATCCCCACCCGCCACTGCCGGCGCCTCCTCAAACAGTTGCACTATCTCCAACCCGCTAAGTGTCACTGGCCGAACCCGGCTCTTAGCGGTTGTTTTCACCCTAAGTCTCACACTTAGCTGGATCTCTGGTGTGACTGTGAAGGGGATGGCTGCGTAGCCTGCCCTGGGGCCGCCCCACTGGGTGGAGGGGGAGAGCGGGATGACCATGAGCTGGCGTTCTAAGGCCTGGTCGTTTAGTAACACGGTTACCACTGAATCGCCTAGGAAGTCGCTGCTGCTGCTGCTGCTGGCACTGACACTGCTGTTGCCGCTGGTGCTGTTGCTGCTGCTGCTGCTGCTGTTGCCAGTGCTGCCAGTGCTGCCGCTGCTGCCGCTGCTGCCAGTGCTCCCAGTGCTGCCAGTGGTGCCACTGCTGCCGTTGCTGCCGCTGCTGTTGCCACTGCTGCCGTTGCTGCCACCATTACCAACACCTGCCCCTCCGCCAGGAGCAAAGGGAGGAGGACTGCCTCGCCCTGGCCCGTTCCCTGCCACCGTAACCCCCCCGCTCGTCCCGCTCGGCGCACTATCAAGCTGAGCAAGCGCCAAGGAGTGGACAGATGCGGGCAAATCGGAGAATCCAGAGGCAGAGGATGCAGAGGCGGAGGCAGGCGGGGGGGCGAGGCTGGAGAAGTAGAGGAACACGTAGTACCGCCCCAGGGCGAGGTTATCGAAGGTGTACTCTAGGCCCCGGTTTGCCAGTGCAGGTGGGGTGAGCACTGAGCGGGCAGACTGCAGCACACGCTGGGGGACGGCGTTAGGGAAGGAGGTGAGACGAGGGGGTGCGGGGGTGCTGGCGCTGGCGTTGGTCGGGGGGGGAGGGAGGGTTACGGCGGCGCTGGTGGTTACCACCTGCGTGAGATTGGCGGGTTGCAGGTCCCAGTGGTCCTTGAGTGTGCTGCCGTCGATGTCCCATACGCGATCCAGGGGGTCAGAGGGGTACCTGAAGGGGGGGGAAGCGGGGGGTGGGGTGGGGGAGGGGGTGGGTGGGTTGAGAGGGAGAACGGATGGCTCATAGCGACGTGCTCATGGCCGGTAAGAAACGTACCTCGTAATAACATACTTCCCCCCAGGGCTTTGATTACATACTACCTAAGGCAGGCGAATTTCCGTAAGACTCCGGTAACAGGCGAATTTCAATAAGGTTCATGACTGGGGCTCGATTCCACGCCCCCAACTTCCCCCCCCTTCATACACAAACGCACACCTGACCGGCTTATCGATTGGGCTCTCCCCACATGCCAGCCGCCACCACACGGCGAGCACGTCCAGCTTGAACCGCTCGTAGCTGTAGGACAGTGCTGGTATACACGCGCACCGCACATACTGGCGGCACCCACCTGACCGACTGATCGGTTGAGCCCCCACAAGAGAACCGCCACCACATGGCGAGCACGTCCAGCTTGAGCCGCTCGTAGCTGTCGGACAGCGCTGGCAGCGGGCGGATCTCAATGGCGTTCACGATGGGGGGCGCTGGTCCAACGCCCTTCTCCTCCCATCTCCCTCCCTCTCTAACACACACACCCACCCACCCACCTGAACGACTTCTCAGTTGGGTTCTCCCCACAAGCGAACCGCCACCACACGACGAGCACGTCCAGCTTGAGCTGCTCGTAGCTGTAGGACATCGCTGGCAGCGGGCGGATCTCAATGGCGTTCACGATGGGGGGCGCTGCCCCGATGCGCTGGAAGCAGATGGGCATGGCGGGGTCCTTCACTGTGGTGATGGCCTCTAGCGTATACATGGTGTCGCCTATGGGGCGAAGATCCACCTGACCCCTGGGATTAGGAGCGAAGGGGAGAGGAATGAGAGGGGCGGAGGGTAGAAAAGGGGGGCAGACGGGCATGGCGGGGTCCTTCACTGTGGCGATGGCTTCTAGAGTGTGCATGGTGTCGCCTATGGGGCGGAGATCCACCTGACCCCTGCAAACAGCCAAGGGAGAGGGGAGAGTGGGGGAGAAGTGGGAGAAGGGGGAGAAGGGGGAGAAGGGGGAGGAGTGGGAGAAGGGGGAGAAGGGGGAGAGGAGGGAGAGAGAGGGCGGGTCTCAATGGCGTTCACGATGAGGGTGAGGGGGCTGTTTCAATGCGCTGGAAACAGGCAGGCATGGAGGCTTCCTTGACTTGCTATGGCTTCTACGGAGTACATGGGACGAAGGTCATCCATCACTCACGCTGATCAGGGCCCAATCGCGGCAATAGAGTCAGTGAGCGAGCAAGAGACGAATTCCGCCGCCTGACTGACCCTATTGCCACTTGCACTGAGCCTGTTGGCACTCGCACATACCCCCACACATGCACTCACGCTGATCCGGGCCCCACAGTGACGTTCAGGCGGGCAACAGACCGACTGACCCTACTGCCACTTGCACTGCCTGCTGGTACTGGCGCATACCCACACATGCACTCACGCTGATCCGGGCCCCACAGTCACGTTGAACACAGGCGGTGAGTTCTTGCCGTCATAGTTCTTGTACCAAAAGGTCAGACGCACCAAGTAGCGACCTGAGAGGAAGGGGGGAAGGGAGGAAGGCAGGAAGGGAGGAGGAGGGGAAGGCAGGAAGGGGGGAAGGCAGGAAGGGGGAAGGCAGGAAGGGGGGAAGGCAGGAAGGGGGGAAGGCAGGAAGGGGGGAAGGCAGGAAGGGGGGAAGGCAGGAAGGGGGGAAGGCAGGAAGGGGGGAAGGCAGGAAGGCAGGAAGGGGGGAAGGCAGGAAGGGGGGAAGGCAGGAAGGGGGGAAGGCAGGAAGGGGTGTGTGCAGCGGGGGGCAGAGGGGGGAGAGGAAGAGTTATTGCCATTATAGTTCCTGTACCAAAAGGCCAGACGCACCAAGTAGCGACCTGAGAGGAAGGGGGGGAGGGAGGAAGGGAGGAAGGGAGGGAGGGGCGTGTGTGTGGGAGGGGCAGAAGGGGGAGAGGGGTGATTCCTGCTGACACGTATGCCTGCATGATGCGTCCCTCTCCGTACGTACATGCTTGTTCACACATAAAGCTCACCAGCAGCACCGAGCGCAACACTTTTGAGGCGCCTCAAAAATCAGCAGCAGAGAGCCAGACGTGGGCCGTGAGGAGTCTATTTTTGAGGCGCCTCAAAAAGAGAGCCAGACGTGGACCGTGGTAGCAGCTGACATTTTTATCATTATTGAACGCCCTCCTCAGCAACCCCTCCATCGTCAAACTGCCTGTTACCGCCATGAGCACATATGTCATATGCAAGTATATACATATAGATACATATGTGTATCTCACCAGCAGCACTGAGCACAATGTGGTAGCAGTTGACATCCTTATCATTGTTGAACGCCCTCAGCGATCCCTCCATCGTCAGCATCCCTGCTCCCCCCTCGGGCGAGAGAGCCGTGATGACAGCAGGCGTGCCGGGTACAGACGCGGGGTCGGGCAGCCAGGTGAACCCCAGGGGCGAGGGATAGGGCTTCCCCTGGTACCCGCAGTCGATGCTGATGAAGCCTGGGGGGAGAGAGGTGGGGAGAACGGGGGTTGGGGATGTGAGGATGTGGGGAGGATGGGGAAGATGGGGAAGATGGGGAAGATGGGGAGTCACCCTGCCAGCTCGCCCCTCGGGCGAAGGGAGGTAGGGGCAGAAGGGAGGTCGGGCAGCCAGGTGAATCCCAGAGGGAAGGGGAAGGGCCTCCCCTGGTACCTGCAGTCAATGCTTATGAAGCCTGGGGAAAAGGGGAGGGGAGGGTGGGGAGGGGGGGAGAGAGGGAGTTGGGATGTGAGTGGAATTGAGGAGGTACCCGCAGTCGATGCGGACGAAGCCTGGGGGAAAGGGGGAGGGGAGGTTGGGGAGGGGGGGAGAGAGGGAGTTGGAATGTGAGTGGAATTGAGGAGGTACCCGCAGTCGATGCAGACGAAGCCTGGGGGAAAGGGGGAGGGGAGGTTGGGGAGGGGAGGGGAGGTTGGGGAGGGGGGAGAGAGGGAGTTGGGATGTGAGTGGAATTGAGGAGGTACCGGCAGTCGATGCGGACGAAGCCTGGGGGAAGGGAAGCGAGAAGGCGGGAAACGATGTGAGGGCTGGGGATGGGAGAGAGGGGGGCCGGAGGGGAGACGGCGGACGGGAGACAAGGTGAGCAAGGAGAAGGGAAAGGAGGGGGGGGGGGGGGGGGTGGGGAAGGAACGAGGGGTTAGCAACGGGTGTTTTTGCGTTGTGACTGGGAGAGATTTGCGGGCTCCCATAGTCCTACTACTCACCATTGACCTAATGTCAATAGTCGCCCTAAAGCCTGCCTTCGCTCTTGTGCTCGCAGTCTTTCCCTGGGGAGGCTCGCACCCGGGAGCAGGGCGGAAGGGGGCGGAAGTGGGGGGAGGGGGAGGGGGACAGGGGGGGGTGGGGTGGGAAAGAGGGAGGAGAAGGTAACCCGTCGGACCTTCCTTCCCGTGCACTTACCCACCGTTGACGACATATTTGAAGCGGCGTTGGTGCTCTGCCCGTAAACAGGGGCAGGCCCGAAGGCGGGCAGTAGTAAAAGAATCAGCAGCATGCCGACGTGGCACCACGGTGGAACCAGTTGACACAGCTGCCTCCGCTTCCCTCTCCTGCTGCCGCCGCTTCTACCGACAGGCTGCTTCAATTCCATCCGCTCGAAACGGCTAGCTCGAGGAGCTGAATCGCTTAGAATTAACTAGGTGCACCAGGCGCTTAAGATACTTAACGATTCCACACAGTAGCGCGGATCTTCTGCTGCAGGAAGCTAAGAGGTCGGCTGGAGAAGCAACGGGATGCGCTTTCTACCACTAAGCGATGGTGGTGGTGGTGAAGGTGGTGACGCCATGGCTGAATGACGATACCTGCGTTGCGATGGTCTGCATGGTAACCAGCTGCACCACGAGGCTGTACTCCATAAAAGAACGACTTTCGAATCGCCTCAGGTGTTGCCGAGATCAAGAAATCTACACGTCTGTTGGAAAATTTGGCTTAGATTATTGACCACGAAGCCTAGTAGTCTTGTGGCTTCAAGCTTCCGTGAGATGAGGGTCATAAGGTGGGGTCGTAACGTCTGGACACTAAATCGTCCAGAGCCTCATAAACTAGAGCCCGTGCAAACCATCTGCTGTCGTCGAGGAGTAAATAATAAGCTACAGACGATGGCGCCGACGAATGAGCAGCGTCTGGCATAAGTTACTAGGAAGGCCGGTTCGCTCCTGCAGCAAAAACAAAACCTGAGCGCCTGTTTCCAGTCCAAGGCGTGCTGAGCTGATGCGATTCACGAGTCAGCGGAGATCTTGGCCCTGATGGTCAGCCCATTCATGGTGCCTGCGGTTCCTCGAGTCTCGATTATCACGGAGACGGAAACTTGTGAAGTGACGATGGGAGACAGAAAGGTGAAGCGAGATCGGAGACATCCGCACGCGGAGATAGACGGATGGGCATGGCAGACCACAACACCCAACCAAACTCACTGTCTGTGAACCACGCAGTAAACCTGTTTACCGTTTTAGATGCTCAGTCTATCGTCTCGTAGACTAGCTGAACCGCACTAGCGATAAAACCTGCTTCGTTCCCGAGTCTAGGCATCCGCTTGTTCCCAAGTCGCAGGCCTGACGTTGGTGCGCGCGGTACAAACCCCTAGGGAGTGCCGTTACGCCACTGTCGCTTGAGAGGGTGAAAGGCTTTGGCGAAAACACGGGCGACGTCGCGGAGAGCAGTGCGTTTCGCAATCATCCGTCGTGAGGTTCGTCTTCCGATGTGAGCATCCTCGGACGTTGATTCCCTTGTCGGTGCAGGCTTGGGCGAAAATCGACGACGGATGCGAAATCCGCAGTGAAGTCACCTGCTCCCCTGCCTCAACCCCTGTGTCTTGGCAGTTTCCCCCACGCGACTCGTCAACACCGCATTTTCGGTGCCACCTTCCTATCTCGCGTGCAACTCCTCCCACCGACGGCATAATCCAGGCGGGCCGACAACCCTCTTACAAAACAGTCTCTTTTAGCTGAACACAAACATCCCCCACAAGTACAGCAGCTTGGACTCGCCTGGAGGAATTTACATTACCGAGAAGCAGTGGGAAACTTTTTCGGATAACAGACAGGCTCAGTCTAAGGAAATTGAACAGAAGAAAATGTTATTTATTATATACAAAGGAGCGTTACAATCAAACGAGCACAAGAAAATAAGAAGCATAGACCTTAGGCCGCTCTTGCAAAAACCAACATGCACTTCGTTCAGCTTCGAGGGCAATTAGAACAGACCAAAGGCAAAAAACTAGAGACCAATTTGACAATCACTGCTGTGACTGCTTCTCAGCAGAACCAAGAAAGTCCGCTGTAACAAGCGTCGATTCAGACATGCCAAACAGAATTGCATGTCCGCCGCCATCACCACCATTGTCACCATGCGCTGAACCAGGCGTGGCAGTGCCAGGTGCTCCAGGCTGACCAAGGGTCAGCTGAGCTGGTAGCCCATGCTGATACACCACCGCTTCCCTCTCTTCCGCCTGGCGCAGAGGAAGAAAACAAACGTCTGATGAGGAAAGCTGCCTTACATCAGACGGAAGCAAAACTTGAGGTGTTCAGAAACAATATTCAAACTAGTCATTCTTCAGGGACGAAAAAAACTCTGGAACGCAAGGTGTACCTGAGGAAGAGCAGGTGCTGATGAAGGGCCAGCGATCACAGGTGGCTCAACACTTGCACCATCAGCAATCGCACCCACAGTGCCATCTTCAACACCAGTGAGGGTGGGGTTGGCGGGGCGGTGGCCCTTGAAGAGTGCGAGGTGGCCGGCGAGCTTGTCCTTGCGGCTGAAGGATGTGCCGCAGGAGCACAGCCAGCGGTCGCGTCCGCAGTGCTTCTCGTGAGTCTTCAGGTCCGCCACCACCGAGAACCGCTTTGCACCGCACTTGGAGCACGCCAGCATCTTGGGACAGTGCGTGCGCCGGTAGTGGTTCTTCACACACAGCATCGTTTTCAGCGGGAGGAACCGCTGGTGCTGGCTGTTGCGCTTGCACCCTACAAACGGGCAGCTGAAACGTTTGGGACGCTGGACGACATTGGCGAGGTGCTTGTCGGGGCGGGCGAGGGCTTCAGGCGTCTTGTACTCATCGCCATGGCCTCTCATGTGCATGCGGAGGTTGGCGTCACGCTTGAACCCTGCAGAGCGGAGCAGGACCGAACAGAGATGTCAAACAAAGAAGAGGGACGTGCCGCGTTCGAAAGGGGTCGGGTAGTCGAAACGCTGCTTGAAAACGTGTTGCAAAAGGCGTGGTTCGAATGGAGATTGCATCCATCCACCACATCGCATGCCGTACCTTTGCCGCAGATCTCGCAGAAGTGGGTGTGCTCCGCCAGAAGTTCCACAGGGTCCATCTCGATGACATCGAATGAACCGTCTGCATAACAACAATAAAAGCAGGCAGAGACCACGACCATAGACAAGTTAGGCAAGAACAGATCAGCAGGCAGCAGGATCCAGAAAATACGCCCGAGGTAAAACCAGAATGAATAGAACGCAACGCATCATCCCCTATTCTCGGGAAAGATTTCTTACCTGGTAGACTCTCGTCGTCGTCGCCATCAGGAGAGCCACGCTCCTTGCCTCCGCCGTCCTCCCGCACATTCTCCTTGCTGCGTTTCCGCGCCAGGTCTGAGCCACCAGCACCAGCACCGCCACCACCGCTATTCGCGCCCGCGTTCAGCGGTTCCCCATCGGGGAAGAGCTTGCGCTTCTGCGACAGCAGGATCGCCCCGCCGAGCAGCTTATCCACCGCGCCTTGCTTCGGGAACTGCCGCGCCGGGGCCGCCTGCGCCTGCGGCGGAGCTGCTTGCGCAACTGGCCTCGGGGGAAACGTCGCCTTCGTCTGCAGCGGTGCCGCCACGCTCGGCGCGAACCCCGGCTGGCTCAGCTGGAGCTTCGCTGCGACGTCATCGGACTCGTATCCGGAAGGAGGCGGAAGCTTGGTCACATGCTGCTGCTGCTGCTGGTCCTGGTGCTGCCACTGCTGCTGCTGGTGCTGCTGCTCCGGGATTGCCGGCGGGGATTGCGTCGCGAGAGTCAGCTGCGCCGCCTGCTGCTGAAGCAGCGAGCCGGAGGCTCCGAGAGACGAGATTAACTGCTGCTGGCGGTTGGCGGGAGCCGAGGACGCAAACTGCTGCTGCTGCTGTTGCTGGGGTTGTGGGTGGGGCTGGTGCTGGTGCTGAGACTGCTGCGGGAGAAGCTGGAAACCGCCGTGCTGTGGTAATGTCAGGAGCTGCGTAGCCGGATTGCCGGCGGAATTGACGGCGGGTGGAGCAGGAGCAGACGGATTGCCGGCGGGAACGGCAGGAGGCATCCCGATTTGCGTGAGCGCGGGGGAAGCCATGCCCATTTGCGGGAGAATGTTGGACGCGGCGAGCGCGAGCTGGGAGATGACGGAAGCGACGCTGGCGGAAGCCGCGGCCTGCTGCTGCTGGAGCTGCTGCGCTTGAGCGGTGTCGGACGGTTGCTGCTGCTGCTGCTGCGCCATCAGCGGGATGAGCGTTTGCAGCGCGCCGATGTTCTGCGGAAAAGAAACATCCACGAAGGCTTGTTAATAACGTTGATACAGTGAGTTTTCAGGAGCAGAAAGGGATTTCTTTTGTTAGAACTTACTTGTTGCAAGAGACTCAAGGCGTTCATCAGCGCTTGAGGGGAATTCGGTAAGCCTGAGGCCGATCCAGGGACACTGGGCTGATGTGAAGCAGTAACGGCTGGATGCATCGCTATCAGTGGTTGAGTATGTTGCTGCTGCTGCTGCTGCTGATGCTGCGGATGCTGATGCTGATGCTGATACTGATGCTGATGCTGCTGATACTGATGTTGCTCTTGGTGCTGCTGGGGCGGATGCATCCTCCATCCAGGCGTCCCGGTAGGCTGGGGTTGGCCTGGAGAGGGATTGTAAGCAGCAGCAGGAGCCATTGGTTGTTGATGAAACGACCCTAGCGTTAGCTGATGTGAAGCTCCGGAGTCCATTTTAGGAGAGGACTTGTAAACACAAGCTTGGCAGTAGTATAATCAGCACCAGTTCCCGTGAGCACTTATCACGGAAAAGACTGGGAGAGCTGGGAACCAAAGGGAATGCCTGATCCGAGGCCTTGATAATGGGTGGGAGTGAGGAGTGAAATGGCCTGATATTCAGCTGGGTGGCACTTGGGGGAAGCAGTGCCAGGAGAAGCCGAGCCCAGCTGTGTGTGCCTTTCAGGCTAGGGTTTGGTCTCTTCTCTTGGGTTCCTCCTCACCTCTCCTCACCTCTCCTGCTGGAAGGGCGGAACAGCAGAGGAAGGACGGAAGGCAGGGGGGATTCGGACGAGGGGAAGCTCGTTTCTGGCCTGGGGTTTGCTGCCGTGCGCTTATCACCACGCGCTCACCCGCGTACCTTTCCGTCTGGGCGCGTACCTTCCCTCGTTTTCATAATTGGTCAGGGGGAGGGGGGTGACTGGTCTCCCCCGCCACGGGTTTGGTTAGCCGACGGTGCACCATGTCAAGTCCCTGCGCCAAGACGAATCCCCTCCCCGCAAGTCGAAAGAATCACACACCTGCCCCCGCGGAAAAGGACAAGGACGGGGCGGAGCTGCTGGAGCCAAGAAACAAGTCCCGATGCACGACGCTGGCAGGAGCGGAGCTCGGAAGCGCCGTTTTGAAGAATTGGGGGGAGAGAGTTGAGTGTTGCGGGGAGGTAAGGGGAGGGTGGGGATGGGTGGGGTGGTGGGGTGGGATGGGTGGGGTGGTGGTGTGGGATGCGCGAGGCATTGGTTGGTGCGCGGTCAGGTTGGCAGGTGGATGTGTGAGTTTCAGACCTGGATGTTTTCCGAGCCTCTCGAGGGCTTTGGCTGTGAGAGGCTCGATATCCCAAACGAGAGGTCTGGGGAAGTGCCCGCTACCCAGCCACAAAGGTCCACAGATCGAAAACCCCCAAAATCAAATGGGCAGGTAGGAAGGGGCACGTCATGTGCAAGAAACATAGGCTGATTCGGCAGCTCCAATTATGTTCAGGGCAGGCGAGCCACGGCAGATTTCACAGCTGAAATTGTCCCCTTCCCCCAGTTATCGCGGCTGACGAACGTATCGCCTCGCCATGGATTGGCTGGGCTGGAGAAGGGCGTTTCTCCCTGGCCGTCGTCACGTCATCCCTCCCTTCCTCCCCCCACCATTGGCATGCCCTTATCACCCCGTGGTTTCCACGATTTGCCAGCGGGCAGCAGCTCGCCTCAGTGGCTACACATGATGTGCACAACATGCCCAGCCCGAATCTGTCCCAAAGTGCTCCCCCCCGATTCCATTCGCATTCATCCAGCGCGACTCGTGAACAACCCTTTGTACAGAGCGAAATGCTGTAGAGCCGACCACCAGGTGAATTCCCCCAGAAGAAACCCTCGCACCGGCCATTTCCCCCCCAACTTACCAATCAAGCCCAAAACAGGCCAAAAGCAGCAACATCCACTCGCTGCTGTATACACTTAAGCTTGCGGTATTCTCACATCTAGTATTTTCACAGGGGGTTCCGCTGAGAGGGTATTCACCCCCCGAAAGCAGCTCCTGAACACCAGATCCAGATACCCTTGAAAACCGACCATAACTTGGGTTTCTCTACGAAAAGTTTACTGGTTGATTTATTGTTTATCGAGTCAGGAAACCCGACGTCAGCTTAGCCAGGCTCAAAGTTTCTCCCGCGTGGAGTCTGCCAAGTTTAGGCCTTAGGAACAAGGGGATACTGTCTACGCACTCAGAAATGGTCAGGGTGGAAACAAATGTTTTTTGCCCAGTTTCAGTGTGTAAAATTAACGCAGTCTAGGTGTACTGTACAGTACTCTTCAGTACACTCTCTCTCCGAAATTTCTCAGTTCACTGTACCTTGTCGCTTTTAAAACCTTGCTTACCGTCCAGCTAACTGGGTGCCCGCAGAAAAATCAGATGACTCAGTGGCTTCGAGAAATCGTACGGTGGCGATGGCCATGTTTTTCAAGCAATCACATCCTTTCGAGTCGTGAGAGGCCTCAGCTCTCACCAACGGCTGCGATATTGCGATGTTGACCTGTTGGCAGCTGACATGGCGAACTGAGCTGAACTTTCCCCATAACTTTTGAGCAGCACCTGGCAGCTCGTCCAGGGAAGCGACAAAACCCGGAAAAAAAATCCGCCACAGAAATTAGCGGAGGACAGGTGTATTTACCCAACCAAACCTTGTGATCTGAGGCCAGGCGCGACCTGCTTGGGGTCAACCTGCCGGACCAAGATCACCGACTTTTGACAGCGGCATGTGGAAGGTGCTTCCGTGGCAGGTGTAGGTCGGGGTTATTTCGTCCGCCTCTGGATTCCAAAGGCGGTTGGAGTGGAAATTCCCGCACGAAATATTCTTTAGGAGATACTGTACACGCGAGGCTGTGTAACCCACTCGCGAAGAAGCCACATCATGCGGCTGCTTCACTAACACATTAGAATCTCTAGAAGACGTGATATGGACGAAGTCCAGCCATGCCAGGCACAATATTAATGTTGAACTTGGAAACGCAGCATGAGGAACACAGTAAATAAAACTAAAAAAGCAGCTAACAAGCGAATGAATTTGGCGGACTAGAGTACAAAACCTCTATCCCTCTCCTCACTCTTCTGCACATTTATCACTTGTCCACTGCATAGCTGTACACTGGGTGGCTGCATGTACAGCACCACTTCCCTCTCTTCCGTATCCCCTTCATGCAGGGCTGCTGCTGTGCAGTTTAAGTTCAAGCTTGAAGAGAGACCGTCGTTACTTGACCAGTGGTTACCACTCCCCCCACGTCCGCGACGCTTCCCAGCGTCCACATTCGTGCTTTGAGAGCTCACAGCAGGGCCTGCCTCTGCTGCACTACCTTCCATCCCCAGCTCAAAAGGCAGCGTTCCTCTGCTTGAAAGATCCAGGGATGGAGGAAAAGATAGGGGGGAGGAAGCTACACAGGCACGTGTAGGGGAGAACGTGCCTGTGCCTTCAATAAGAGCAGCTCCAGCTGCCTCTGCTGTAATAGCCGCATCCGTAAGGGTATCAGCAGCAGTGACTGCGTGGTGGCCCTTGAAGAGCGCGAGGTGGCCGGCGAGCTTGTCCTTGCGGCTGAAGGACGTGCCGCAAGAGCACAGCCAGCGGTCGCGCCCGCAGTGCTTCTCGTGAGTCTTCAGGTCCGCCACCACCGAGAACCGCTTTGCACCGCACTTGGAGCACGCCAGCATCTTGGGGCAGTGCGTGCGACGGTAGTGGTTCTTCACACACAGCACGGATTTGAGCGGCTGGAAGCGGGCATGTACGCGGTTCCGCTTGCAGCCAACGTACGGGCAGCTGAACCTTTTCTGGCGCTGCCCGGTGCCTTCAGCGGGGTTCTTGCCCGGCCTTGCAAGCGCCTCTGGTGTCTTGTACTCGTCGCCATGGCCTCTCATGTGCATGCGGAGATTGGCGTCACGCTTGAACCCTGACACAATCAAAGCGTGGTTTGTACACAGCATACAGAATGGCGTGAGGTGCACTGGATGCAAAACGGAGAGCACAGAAAAAAAAAGGACCGCGCCGAACCTTGGTTTCGGGGCATGGAATCCTGATGATGCGAAGCTCAATCAAAATTAAGTCAGCACCAAGAAAACCATCCCTTTAACAGAGACCTCAGGTACTGGGAAACTGAGACTGACCTTTGCCGCAAATCTCGCAGAAGTGGGTGTGCTCCGCCAGCAGCTCCACCGGGTCCATCTCAACAATGTCGAACGAGCCCGCTGGAAGCGGCGACTCCTCGTCGTTCTCCTCGTCCAGTCCCGCATCCGCGATTGCAGCAGCCCCGTCAACAACACCGGTCTCCTTCGGGCTCCACGCAGCAGCATGCTTCTTCGCCGCGAGAGACGCTCCGCCGTCAGCTTCAATCGTGTAGGATGGCAATTCCCCGACCTTCCGCTTCTGAGGTAAAAGCGGTCTTCCGAAGAGCTTGGGTTCTGGAGCCGCAGCAGCACACTGCTCAACTGGTACCGCTGGTCGCCATGGCTCCCCAACTGCCGCCGGCGACTGCTGCTGCTGCGGCTGCACCAGGGGTTGCTGAATTGCACTGGCAAAGGCAGACGTCGGGTAAGGATTGATTGGTGCCACGTTGTCAGCAGGCGGAAGCGAGGACAGAGCGAAATTGCCGGGTTGCGGAAAGCCGGCGTAGACAGGAGGGGAGAAGCCGTTGATTGGGGGAGTGAGGCCGGCAGGTGGAAGTCCGTTGATGGGGGGGGAGAGTCCGGCCTGCGGAAGAATGTTGGCGGCAGCCATGGCGAGTTGGGAGATCACGGACGCCACGCCGACGGACGCTGCATCCTGCTGCTGCTGGAGCTGGTCCGCAGCGGTGGGGATCGGTGGCTGCTGCGACATGAGCGGAATGAGCGACTGTAGAGCGCCAATGTTCTGCAACACGAGAATGTATTTCAGTACACATGTATTTTCGACATTCTGAACGCAAAAGAGAACCTTCAAAAACGACGAGGCAATGAGATCTTTGATGAAAAACGACATGCAGTTAAGCGAAAAATACGACGGAAAACTGAGAGATATAGAGGAACGGACCTGCTGCAGGAGATTAAGCGCATCCATAAGAGCCTGCGAAGATCCAGGTCCTGCAGCATGAGGTGCGGTTGAAAGCGGTGCAGAGGGAAGCGCGGCTGACACTGGGGGACCAGCAGGCGTGGTAGAGGGAGGTTCAGTTGCGGGTGAAGAAGGTGCCTGGGACTGCTGCTGTATGAGAGGCCAGAAGGAGCCATTCCCGGGGGGAGGCGGCGTTTGCGAAGGGATGGGTAACGGCTGGAAGTGGAAAGGTGTAGCCATTTTCTGGATGTGATAAGTTCGACTGCAAGCAATTAGAATGCTTCGGACTATTTGGAACAACTACTGAGCCTGGTGCGTTCAATCAAGTGAGAAGGCCGAGAAGCAAGCACACGCCGCTTGCCCTTCGATATCCGCAACGAGTACCCTCACTAAGAAAACTTCAAAGCGAGGGAGCTGTGCGGTCGCCTCCGTATGCACTGAAGCTGACACTATGGTCAAGTCTCTTGTGGCGGTGGAACTAGGTGTAGGCAAGTCTCACAGCCCAAAGAACCTCCCTCTAACAGGCCCTGCTGAATGAGCCGCAGAGCTGCTGGCAGAACGATGTGGTGTTTGTCTGGGGGAAGGTAGGCTCTTGGCTGATGCCGCAATAAAACCAAACCAAACCCTAGGTTTGTTGGCCTTGCTCCTCCTTCCTGTTGATTCCATCCATGACTCCTGCGCGCCTGAGGGGACACAATCACGCGGCAGTATCGATGGATGCGAGGAAAATGTGGGCAAGCGAAACACAACAGCGACAGCGATTCTATTCGCCATGGCGGGAAACGATTTGTTTTTTCACGTTGCGCGACGAGGGCCTGGTTACCTGCGTAAGCTGGTGCGTCGTGTGGACGAGGGTCTTGGTTGGAAACCACAAACGCGTCGCATACGGTTTCGCTAAAGCTTGCCAGCTGGTTTAGTCACCTCACGACAACACACCACCACAACCAGCTTCGTTCCCCAGGAATGGACGCATGGTCTCCGCCCAACTCCCCGACCGACCGTTTCCCCCGAGAGGATTTCCGAGGAGTCGTTGCTGGGGACCGACAAGATGGGCCATGCGTGATGGCATCATGCGCATGGTGGGCGGATCAAACCAACGCGCAGCTGCAGCGATGGGATGGGATCTGTTTGGCGCTGCTGTTGGGAAGGTGGCTGTGAACAGAAGCAGCGTCCAATTTTACGAACACTAATTCGTATAAAACGGCATCGAAAAGAAGCTAAATGTATCAACTTTAGTAAACACTGTATTTTCTTGAGCATGAAATATAAGCGGGGTCCTCCATACGCTGGATCCTCCATACAGAGTCCAGCGGGACAAACGAAGCGATGTTGCTTTGCTCGAGAGAGATCCTGACCTGACAGACAACACACAAACTTCCGAAATCCCAAACGAACCGACAAACCTCCCGACAAGAGGGGCGCGGCTCGGCTGTGCTCGAATCGAAACGCCCGACATTTTGAACTCTCTCCCAAGCACCAATGTCAACCGCGTTGCCTCGTATTAGATCTCATATAACCACACAGAACCAAAACGAAAAGCTCGCTCTTCTTGCATTTTCGGGCTTGGCGGGACACATACTGGCTCTTGTATTTTCAGACTCAGCTGGGTTAGGAGGCATATCAAGTACTCGTCTGACGTCACACCTCCGCCGTTTAGTCACGGACTCCGAACACACAGGAAGCTTCTCTAACATGAGAAAACGCACTGCCCCGCACTAGGACGTCGAGTGACATTGTTTTTCTTGCACTTGAAACATGTCCTTAGAATCTAGATTGCTTCTTGATCTTACTTGGCTGGGACTATTAGTTCGCTTGTCAGCCATGGAGTGCACTTGTTGAAGTCTGCTGCACTACTACCTTCATCTGCTGAGTAAGATTCAGCGGTATTAAGCGACGTCTGGCTTGATGTCATCGCGCTGGTACGTTTCGTCAAAGTTTAACGCTCGCAGCGCTGACGTCAGGCTCCTATCATGCAGCTTCCCCGGTCGCGTACTAAGACGACTCAGTCGTGGTATCTCCGATTTAAGAAATTTCGGCATGAGAAGCGCTTGCTTCTGAATGCGTTGTTGAAATTCTTACCGGCACTTATCGCCTTAGCGTCAATAGGACTATTTTACCTGGTCGTTCAGCTCGGATCCTGCCTTAACACATCCTTCCTCTACGTTCCCCGCTTTAGATACTTCTTCTGCTCCTACGCTCCGTCTCAGACCACCAAACTCGCAGCGCAGCGGGCCTTGCGCTCGATCAACCAGATTCGCGATCCGCCTCGCGGTAATCATTATCCGAGATCATATCTGAGGCCGAATTCAGGTTCCAGCCCGCGTTCAGATTTAAGTCCAGATCGGAATTCCTTAGACGGATGTCCCGGCGCGTGGGATTGGTTCCTCAACGACTCTAACGCTACCACTGGCACATCCGGCGATGGATCGAGTTTTAACGTTTTCCGTCACAATTCGGCGACGAGTACTTCCCCCCGAGATTCCTGCAGATTGGAATTCGTCACGTTTTCCACTTTTGGCGGAATCGGGCTGAGCCGACTCTCGGACACGGCGCACATGCTCAACATCCCCCTTGCCGTCGTCGGCCTTGGGCAGCCATGGATTAAAGCGCTCGGATTCCGCCTCCGCGTTCGGGGGATCTTAGACTACGTCAGCAATCTCCCGCCGGATCGAATCGTCGTCGCGACAGACGCGTCCGACGTGCTCCTAGTGCCGTCCGCGCAGCAGTGCGCCTCCCCGCGCCTGATCTCCGCGTTCCGCGAGCTCCGCGCGCCCGTCGTGGCGGGAGCGGAGCCGTTCTGCTTCCCTGACTACGGCGCTGAGGAGCGGTACCCGCCGCTTCCGCCCGCGGCTGTCGCTGTGAACTCCCGCGCGCGGTTTCTTAACGCGGGAGCTTATATGGGGTACGCGTGGGCCGTGTCTGCCGTCCTGCTGGCAGTTCTAGATGATGAGGGGAAAAGCGCCGCCGCGGCGCTTCGCAGAGGCATGACAGGCGCTGATACGGAACGGGAGGCGACCGATGAGAACAGCAGCAGCGGCGGCGGCGGCGGCGGCGGTGGCAGCGTCTGGTGGCAAACTCCTGAGCCGTTCGACGATCAGCGGGAGCTGACGCGTGTGTTTCTGAATCAGTCGGCAATCTTGCGTCATTTGGATAGGTGGAGAGGCGCGGTGGGAGAACCCAGCACCTTGCTGCAGCAGCAGCAGCAGCAGCAGCAGCAGCAGCAGCAGCAGCAGCAGCAGCAGCAGCAGCAGCAGCAGCAGCAGCAGCAGCAGCAGCAGCAGCAGCAGCAGCAGCAGCAGCAGCAGCAGCAGCAGCAGCAGCAGCAGCAGCAGCAGCAGCAGCAGCAGCAGCAGCAGCAGCAGCAGCAGCAGCAGCAGCAGCAGCAGCAGCAGCAGCAGCAGCAGCAGCAGCAGCAGCAGCAGCAGCAGCAGCAGCGGCAGCAGGGGCGGCAGCATCAGCAGCAGCAGCAGATGCAGCAGGCGAAGGATAACGGGGCTGAAGCCAAGGAGGGAGGCATGGAAAGAGGCTTGGAAGGAGGCATGGAAAGAGGCTTGGAAGGTGGCATGGGCGGAACCACACAGGGAAGCGCGGAGGGGGGAGTGGGAATCGAGCATTCGTGGCAGCAGCACTTGGAAGCACAGCTGGCGTCACAGTTGCTGATAGCCCTCGACTACATGAGTGCAGTGATCGAGAACGCTGGCGGCCGCGACGCGTCTCAGTACGAGGTTCTGTCGAGCCCACCAGAGTGTGATTCTCAGCAGCCCCTGTGCGTTCAGACGGGGGAAGGGGCTGGGGGACGGGTAGTGGAAGGGGATGGGGGCGTGGAGAAGTCGCAGCCTGGAGGGAGGGAGCACAAGTGGGAGCGCCGGGACCAGCAGCAGGGCGGGGAAGAGGGATGGGAGGGGCAGCAGGGAGGGAATTCGCAGCAGGGAGGGGAGGAGCAGCGGTTGGAAGGCAAGGAAAAGAGTCAGGGAGAGAAAGGAGAGACGCTACAGTGGCTGCAGGATCAGCAGCGGAGGGGAGGGTTGTTGTGGAAGGTTTCGGGTCCATGGCTGCATAACAGGGTAACCGGGGGGTCACCGTGTGTGGTGCACCAGCAGGGGCACAAGCTGGACAAGGACCTGGTGCTGCTACAGCTGGTACGGCTGCTAGAGGCGGACGAGAAGCGGGTGGCAGGGGGGTATATCACACAATCGCACATGCGCTGGCTGCACTCTGTCAGCAGGGGGCGTTTCTAGGGGCTGGGGGGGTCATCGCCCAGAAACACATGCAATGGCTGCTGCTGACTGCTGGTCAGGGGCGCTTCTAGTAGCTGGGGGGTACATCACACGTGCTCACATGCGCTTGCTGCTCTCTGTCAGCAGGGGCAGCTTCTAGTGGCTGGGGTGTACATCACATGTGCTCACATGCGCTGGCTGCACCCTGTCAGCAGGGGGCAAGTCTAGTGTCTGCCACGGCTGGGCCTGCTGCTATACCTGGAGCTGCTACAGCTGGGGCTGCTGCTACAGCTGGGGCTGCTGCTAGAGGCGGACAAGAAATGGTGACAGGGGGATGCAGAATGAATGCACACATGCTACTACGGATGTGCACTGTTTCACTAACACCGTGTTACCCTCGTAAGGTGTGTGCATATATATCGTTCGGTAATGGGTTCCACTTTCTCCATTTTCTTCTCACTCTGGCTTGAAGGGAGCTTGTAAGGAACTTTCCATTCCTTAGCGCGCCACACCGCTAACGCGTACCCCAACCCCACACGGCACTGACACCTGCCCAAGCTCCGAAAACAGGACCGAACCATTTCAGCGTCACTCCGAAGCGCTCCGCATCCTCGGATGCCTTCTTCAAATCTGTTCGATCACACGGCTAGGATTGCTCTAAATCTTCCTTCGCCATTGCACGACATTTCTGTTATTCTGAACCACGACATTCGATTCCGCGCTACTCTGGCGAAACACTCATAACATTTGGTATTCAGAGCTACTTTCCTAACCTACCTGCTTCCGTAAGCGAAAAACTTTTTTCGGGGTGGGGAGTGATTCGCTCACTGAGTTGCTGTTGGGCTGAGAAAAGGCCTTAGTGTCAAACATATATTTGTATAGACTGTATAGGGTTACCTCTTAGAGGGTACAACACTCTTAGGTATATACCCTTGTTCTCTCACTCTATTCAACACTTGTTAAATTTTAGTTTCTGACATGGTATCATCCGTAGATTCGACTCCTCCCACCTACCGCTTCCGCCCGTTCCCCTAGGCCCCGTCGCGCCGCCCCCCCCCCCCCCCTAGGCTTCGTCCCGCCCCTCCTGGGCCCCTGCCGCGCCTCCTAGCCCTTGTCGCGCCCCTCCTGGGCCCCGTTAGCGCCTCCTAGCCAGCCGCGCCCCTCCTGGGCTTCCCGTGCCTCCTAGCACCCAGCGCGCCTCCCTGGCCCCAGCCGCGCCTCCCTAGCCCCGCCGAGCTCCCTGGCCCCGTCGCGCCTCCCTGCCCCCTGCCGCGCTCCCTGGCCCCGTCTCGCCTACCTGGCCCCAGCGGCGCCTGCCTGGCCCCGTCGCGCCTGCCTGGCCCCAGCCGCGCTCCCTGGCCCCGTTGCGCCTACCTGGCCCCAGCCGCGCCTGCCTAGCCTCGTCACGCCTGCATGGCCCCGCTGCGCTCCCTGGCCCCGTCGCGCCTCCCTGGCCCCATCCGCGCTGCCTGGCCCCGTCGCGCCTGCCTCGACCCGCCGCGCCTGCCTGGCCCCGCCGCGCCTGCCTGGCCCCGCCACGCCTGCCTGGCCCCTGCCACGCCTCCTGGCCCCACCGCGCCTGCCTCGCCCTGCTGCGCCTCCTGGTCCCGCCGCACCTGCCTGGCCCCGCCGCGCTGCCTGGCCCCGCCGCGCGTCCTGGCCCCGCGGCCCCTGCCCAGCCCCGTCGCGCACCTGCCTGGCCACGCGCCTCCTAGACCCGTCGCCCCTGCCTGGCCCCGTCCCGCCTGCCCGGCCCCGCCAGTACCTGCCGTGCCCCCTCGGGCTCCGTCTCCTTGGCTCGCTCGTACTGCGGCGCTTCGTGGCCGCCGTGCTGGCAGCGGGCTGTCGCTGTGTTCCTGTGGAGCGGTGCCGCTGACCCTTCACTACTGCTGCGCTTGCCTGTGCGGTCTGGGACTCCCGAGATGCAGTCGCTCAAGTTGCCATTAGCCACGCCCTCCCTGTCTCTGAGCGCTCGCGTTTTGCTGCTATGGAGACGGCCAAAGCTTACTTAGACGTTGTTATTGCTCGCTATTCCACACCTGCCTCTGCTTCTGCTGGTCGCCTGCTCTTCCCTATGCTTTTCCCAGACCTTGCAGCTTTCCCTACCGTCGCAGACTTTGCCACTCACCTGCGTGCCCTAGAGACCCGCTATCGCACTGCTAGCACTGCTGCCCAGCTCACTGCGCTCCCCACCCCTTTCTGCATGACGCTCTATTTTATCGCCATGCGCCTGCCAGACCGACTCGCTAGTGCTCGCGATCACTTCCTTAGCCTGCACCCGGCTGACCTCACTCTCGCCGCCTTTGTCGACACCCTCACCGAGATCGAGACTCGCCAGCGCACTATCGCTCTGTCGAGCGGTGCGCCGGCAGTCTCTATCTTTCACGGCTGTGCCCCCTCCCAGTGCACGTTCACTGACATTTCGGCTGCGGTCGCCACGGCCACCCCCCTCACTGAGACGGCTGCTGTGGTCCACCCGCAGCAGCGCTCGCGCCGCAGTGGCCGTGGTTGCCAGAGTGGTCGGGGTGGTGGCGCCGGTAGTGGTGTTGGTGGTCGTGAGAGTAGTTCGTCTGGGGGGACTAGCCTCGTTGGTCAGGAGCAGCAGCCCCAGCCGCAGCAAGAGCAACCCGCGCCGCAGCCGCCGTCTCAGCAGCAGCCGCAGTCCCCGCCGCAGCTCCCGCAGTAGTGGGCGCGTCTCCCGTTTGGTTGGCCCGGCACCTCAGGAGGTGGTGGCAGTGGTGGCGGCCCGCGCAGCTTGGCGTCTACCGGTGGCTCCGGTGCTGTGACCTGTCAGTACCAGCTTCAGACCGGGCCCCTTCGCGGCACTCTGTGCCGCCGCCCGCACCCGACTGCCCGCTGCTTCCGCCGCCTCGACGATCTCTTTCGTCGTCGCTTTGGCCCGGCCCCGGACCTCCCTGACTGGCACCGCCTACTCCGCCAGGGCGTGCCGATCTTTGAGTTAGACATGGATCAGATAGGTGCTGCTTTGTATGCTTTGTATTCTGACGCTGCTAGTGTTGCTGGATCTTATTATCATGTGTTCTCTAGTTTAGGTGTTGCACCGCTGTGTAGCCTAGCCTCCCCTGCTGCGTCAGGCGTAGGACTGCCTAGATTGTCTAGCCTCGTCTCTGCACTGGCATCGTTCCCTGTCCCCGCCACTGCGGCGCTGTCCTTAACTCTCGACTCCGGTGCTTCTGCCTGCTTCTTCCGCGACCGTTCTGCGCTCATGCCGCTTGCTACGCCAGCTGTCGTCTCTCTCGCTGACCCCTCTGCGGGTCCTGTCGTCGCTCGCAGTTTTACGTCCCTTCCCTGTCCAGCAGTTCCCTCGGGCTCCCTTACAGGCCTCCACGTTCCCTCATTCTCGAGGAACCTGGTTGGTGTCGGCTGTCTTCAGGACCTCGGCGTCACCACCACGTTCCCCGGGCACGAGCGGTTCGCTGTCTGTTTGGAGGCTGTCTCAGGTTCCTGTCTTGCGACTTTCCCCCGAGACCCAGTGTCCGGTCTGTTTACCCTAGACACCGCTTCCTCTCCGGTTGGTACGTCCTCCCAGGTTGCTGCAGCTTGCTCGTGTCGTTCCCTCACTCACCCGTCCCTCCTCTGGCACCACCGCTTAGGTCACCCCGCCCTCCCTCGTCTGCGTCACATGTCCCAGCACGGTCTTGTCTTAGGTCTCCCTGCGTCGCTCCCCGCCCTTCCTCCCTCGACTGCGCCACCGTGCACGCCTTGCGTCGAGGGCCGGCTCCGCCGTGCCCCTCACTCCTCCTCGCTGCGCCCTGCTACTGGCCCCCTTCAGACCCTGCACCTGGACGTTTGGGGCCCTGCCCCCGTCCCCGGACCGCGTGGTGAGCGCTACTTCCTTGTGCTCGTTGACGACTACACGCGCTACACCACGGTTTTTCCCTTGGAGCGGAAGGCCGACGTGCCCGACATGGGTTGTGGCAGCGCATCTCCACCACGGTCTCCCCGTGTTGTGTCTCCACTCTGACCGTGGCGGCGAGTTCGCTTCTGGTCGGCTTGGACATTTCTGTCGTGCGGAGGGCATCACCCAGTCGTACACCTTGCCGGACTCGCCACAGCAGAATAGGGTTGCTGAGCGCCGCATCGGCTTGGTCATGGAGGTCGCCCGTACCTCCATGATCCATGCCGATGCACCCCATTTTCTATGGCCGTTCGCTGTTCGCTACGCTGCTCACCAGCTTAACATGTGGCCACGCTCCCAGCGGCCGCAGGTTTCACCGACCCTCCTTTGGACAGGGTCCCCAGGTGACGCGTCTGCGTTCCACGTCTGGGGCTGCCTTGCTCACGTTCGTGCCTCTGGCACGGACAAGCTCACTGCTCGCACTGTCCCCTGTGTCTTCCTCGGTTTTCCCCTGGACTCGTCTGACTGGCTTTTCTACCACCCGCCGTCTCACCGCTTCCTCCACTCTCGTGACGTCACCTTTGACGAGTCTGTCTCCTTCTACCGCCGCTTCCCTCACCGAGGTCTCCCGGTTGCCCCGCCCCTGTTCCTCGCTCCCTCTCCCCCGGTAGCCCCTCCTTCTCTTCCGCCGCGTCCTGCCCCGTCTGGTGTCTCTCACGTCACTCCCCTCCCGTCGGTTGTCTCAGTTGAGGAGTCTGCTGACTCTGGTGGTTCCCCCGGTCTGTCCTTGCCGCGTCCCCCTTCCCCGGTGCCTCCGCCCCCACTGTCGCAGTCGCCGACCCCGCTGCAGCCGTCGCCGATGCAGTCGTCGCCGCCACTGCCGCGGTCGCCCGTGGCCCCTGGGGGTGCTGGTGTGGAGGCGGGTGTTTGTCCTGCGACTTCTAGGGGTGCCGCTGGTGTTGGAGAGGGTTCTTGCTCTGAGGGTGTTGGTTCTGGGGGTTCTGCTGTTGAGTGTCCTGCCGACGGTCGTTCTGCCTCTCCTGGTCCGCGCGTTCCGGCGCCGCCGTCGCCGCCGCCACAGCCGCCGTCACCGCCGGTCTCCGCTCTCCGCCTGCTCGGCCTTCCCTCCCCGGACCACTCGACAGTGTCTCTACCGCCGCCTGCTGACCTCCCAGTCTACGGTCCTGTTTTCCTGCCGCCGGACTCGTCTCCGGCCCGTCTTCCTCCTCGTTCTCCTGTTGTGTCCCCTCCGCTGTCTCCTGACCCTACCCCTCAGTCCCGCGTTTGGTCCCACCGTCCCTCACGTGCCCGTCCCGCCTCTCCTGTTCTACTCTCTCACCCTATATTGCTCCGTTCCCACCCGTCTCGTCCTCCTCTCCTTCCCTCCCCTCCTCCCTCGTCGCTTGCTGTTGCGCCTCCTTCGTTCTCATACTACCTCCGTGCCGCTCGTCCTCTTGTCCCTCGGGTTCTTGCCTCCCTCGTTACCGACCCTGCTGTTCCTGTCTCGCGCCTTGACGCGCTTGTCGCTGCTGTCGCTGACTTCGCCTCCACCCGCCGCCTTGACTACGCTACCGCTCTGGTCTCTGACCCTGCCCATCCTCCGTCCGTCGGGGGTGCTCCTGCCCTTGGTAGTGACGTCCTAGAGGACAGGCAGTACGAGCTTGCTTTCCTTTCCGAGGCTGCTCCTCATCTCTGCTCCATGCTGTTAGTCCCTGAGGGTGACCCCGACGCCTTCGACATCCCGACCCCTCGCACCTACGCTGAGGCCACCTCGGGACCGTGGGCCTCTCAGTGGATAGCTGCCATGGAGCAGGAGATGGCATCTTGGAGGTCCACCGGCACCTACGTCGACGCAGTTCCCCCACGTGGGGTGAACGTAGTCGACGGTCGGTGGCTCTTCAAGGTGAAGCGCCCGCCTGGAGAGCCGCCTTTCTTCAAGGCGCGCTACGTGGCCAGAGGCTTCAGTCAGCGCGAGGGGGTGGACTTCTTCCAGACCTTCGCCCCGACCCCGAAGA